TTAGGACTTTCAAAGGAAAGATGAGATTCAGTCCTTACTCTTTGTATYGCATATTGCTTTCCAATTTCTACAGCACATAGTGTTAAAAAGTTCTAATAAACCCCAAAGCATATTTGAACCAGGGGGTGAGCAAGATAATGCTTTCAGTACATAGAAGGATYCCATCCACATAGTTATGTTCTTATTTTATTCAAAATTATCAGTTGCTGAAGTCAAATAGCATGGACACTCTTATCAGATTTTCTAATTTTGAAGAAGGTTTTAAAGTTTCTCTTGAAAGGGACAATTGAGACAAGTTTTCTTATCAAAGCCTGCTCTAACAAAGTATGTGGTACTCACTGATGGAGGGATGCCAGGCTGCGTAACACCCTRGTCTGATTTCTGAAATCAGTATTAAAACTAACAAAAAATAATCCCAGACTTCCCACCCATCACTTGAGTAAAACAAGCAAACAAACCAACCAACACCAGGAAGTTTTAAAATTAGTTTCTTTCTGATTTTAAACCCTGAGTAGAAAGCTGGCTTTTTTGTTTCTGTTTAGCTGGAGAACATTGGGAATTTTATCAAAGCCATCCAAGTCTACGGCATGAAGCCACATGATATTTTTGAAGCAAATGATCTTTTTGAAAATGGAAATATGACTCAAGTACAGACTACTCTAGTGGCACTGGCAGGTCTGGTAAGTATTTTTACCCMCGGAGCTGGCACAAATCCATGTGCCAATCCAGGTGCACCATTATAACCCATGTAAATACAGAAAACAGCATCCAGCCTGTCAAGAGAGGACAGACAGTACTGAGAGTCTGAGATACTGTCGAGGCTGCACCRTTCTGTGTGCTCCCACATGCCGCAGAGAAGGCTTGGAGTTCAGAGTGAGGGTCCCTGACTGCTTCCTTGTGCATCTGCAGAACTGGGCAGGCTCACAGGAGAATACTAATCCCTGCAGAAYATCCTTTTGACTCCAGTAGCTTTGGAGTGCCACCTTCAAATGGCATGGGAAACTGGTACCTTCTCTCAGCCCTGACAMAAAGTCTCATGGAGATAGACCTGCTTGTGGCATTGTTTGAGAGCCCAGGCTCAGGGTGTGGAGCCAGAGAATACATTTCAAACACTGAACACTCTTATTTTCCCTCTCCCTAAATAGGCAAAAACTAAAGGTTTTCATACTACAATTGATATTGGTGTCAAATATGCAGAGAAACAAGCACGAAGTTTTGATGCAGGAAAACTAAAAGCTGGTCAGAGTGTAATTGGCCTGCAGGTAAGTATGAAATTCAGATTTGCAGTTAATTTGCTACATTTGAGAACAACTTTCTTGCTTTGATTAATTGATATATTTTTTATGCAAAACCAGTTGCAGAATAATAATATATTCTTRTCACAGAAGGAGAAATGAGGTTTTAATTCTTGTAAGCAGTTGATTGGCTTTATAAGCTCAAGTCACTGCCTGGAAGGTTTGTTTGTTTGTTTAAATCTGCTATTAGAGTGATAAGGAGGAAAAGAAGGCTAATATTAGCAGCATCATCTCTGTCTTTGAAAGTGGTTTTAAAGTAGGAGTCTTTRGATAGCTAAAGCTCCTTGTATAGTAGAAACATTTTTTTCTCTCTTTCCTCATAAAAATCAACATAAAATCTTAAAATTCTTGTGGTAGAGAGTTTGTGGCAGTATAAATAAATCATTTTACATGTCCAAGGTAAAAGGGACTTACTATGTTTTGAGGCATACATCCATTCCCATTGCAGTGCAGCTGGAMAAATGCCAGTCACTGAAATGCCTTAGGATGACAGTTGCCTTTATTTTTCCTTTTGAAACTCGGTAAGGAGATAGGGTAATTTATTATGGGTAGTGGTCAAACTACATGAGGAAAGCATGCACTGAAATTACTTTTTGTTAACCATCACAGTTACAAACTGTATTTGTTTCCTTAGACTATGCTTAACATACAAATGAAAATMATTTTTTCTATCCACCTCTTTCTTCCTCCAATAAAGATGGGCACCAACAAGTGTGCCAGTCAGGCAGGTATGACTGCTTATGGAACTAGAAGACACCTCTATGATCCAAAAATGCAAACTGATAAGCCATTTGACCAGACGACAATTAGCCTACAGATGGGCACTAACAAAGGAGCCAGTCAGGTAAGCAGGACTGTGTGACATGTGCAGGGTGGAGCCAGCTCTCAGCCCAGTGGGACAGGAGAGCTTGGAGTGTGCCCAGTAGTAGAGTCTAATAGGCAGCAGCAAGTGGGTGCAGTTCAACTGTGCTTTTGCATAGTAACTGAGGAACTTGAATATCTTATCTTAACCAGYGTGTTCTGTGCTGAGTATCTTAAGGCATAAAAACGACCTGGTGCTTCTAGAATTTCCAGCTGGCAGTGTTGTACCAGAAGAAAACAGTAACTTCATTTTAAGTATTAACTAGACAGAGACAAAAAATAAATTGCTTACTGGCACCACTTTAGTCAAAGTACTTAGCACATTCTTTCCAAAGAGGAACATTAATTGGACCTTTCTGCAAGGACTTTCTTCTGTGAGTTACCTACTATTGAACACATGCTGCTTTGCTGTATTTTGTTATACAGTAATTTCTACTTCAACACTTTTCAGTGAAACATAGTAGTTGAAATCATAAATCTAGTTATCACAGCTCTTGACCTTCTTACTGAACCTCTACAATCCTGTKTTATTAGGCTGGTATGCTGGCACCAGGTACCAGGAGAGACATCTACGATCAGAAGCACATATTACAACCTGTGGATAACTCAACTATTTCGTTACAAATGGGTACCAACAAAGTAGCTTCGCAGAAGGGAATGAGTGTGTATGGGCTTGGACGGCAAGTGTATGACCCCAAGTACTGTGCTGCACCCACAGAACCTGTCATTCATAACGGCAGCCAAGGAACAGGAACTAATGGGTCAGAAATCAGCGATAGCGATTATCAGGCAGAATACCCAGATGACTATCACGGAGAGTACCAAGATGACTATCAAAGAGATTACCATGGTCAGTACAACGACCAGGGCATTGATTACTAGCTTTGCATCAGAAGTTCAGTATTAGTCCATTATTTTATTCAGTAAGAACGAAACTAGCCTTGTGGAATTGTTACCTGTCTTTCCTACACACTACGCTTAATGTACCTGAAGAAATACTGCCTTACATACATTCCTTTTTCCTTTCTCTGCCCTTTCCCTGTCTAGTTGCCTTTAGTGCTGTAACAGTTGTAGTCTACAGCATAAACAATAATTGCATATGAAGTAAAAGGAATACTGTGAAAGGGGGAGTGCTCTCATACAGCCAGGTTGTTTAAAAAGGAGCTATGCATTCTCACAATCTCTACTTAAGTAGGTCTTCACATACCATGTTAAGCCTTCATTTTACGTATTTACAGCTTTTCTCCAGAGGAGATAAAAGAATCTCATGCTTCAAGTTACATGTGGTCTTTGCCAATTAAATTTAAGATATCTCATTAGTGATTTAATATCATTGCTATGTTTTTAAGGTATTGTTTGCTAATGRTAAGTCCTGCATTAGAGATAAGTGTGCATTTGTGATTGTGTATTCATTCCATTTATCAACACTGACCAAACTTAGAAATAGTTGTCTTACTAAAAGGGAGCTTGTACAAAGTCTTGAGCCAACAGAAGTTCCATGATTGACGGTGCATTTACTTTTTACTGTGCCATAATATATCCATGTAGAAATGCTTTTTTCTTCCTTGAACTGTATTTATTGCCACACTTCTCAAACTGATCCCATTGTATTTTTATAAATAAATATTTTTTTCTTAAAGGTATGTAGATGATTTTGTCTCATTTGTTATGCTACCATTCTCAAAGGTTAGACGTCACAAGAATTATTCCAAAATAAGCAGCATCTTTGCCTGTGTTAAGGGTAATGTAGAATTCGGGTCTGTTCAGTTCAGGTTCATTCTTTTCCATGGGATTTAATCTAACAATCTTGTACAAATCTCTCAGGAATAAGGGACACTGACTTAATAGGAGAAGAATGTAGGWCCTTCCCAGCCGGGTTCACTTCCCTCTTTGTGACTCTGAGGTTATGACCTGAGATCCTTAGCAGTTTACTAAATCCCTGCTGTTTTCTTGTGGCAAACAAGGATCTGCACATATTTATTGCTGCCCCTGCTTCAGCTTACAGCCTTTATACCATCACTTGGAGGACTCAAAACACCCTTGGTTTTAGTCCCTGTGCCTGTTGGTCTGCAATCCAGGTTACTCAGTTACTGATAGCAGAGCTATCTATTCTAAATGCAGCATGCTTTCTTCCTCACCATGGAGTACAGAGAGGCTACACTAATTAACCTGCACTGTTTTTAAAAGGAGAGAAACGAGCGTGAATCAATGGGGGCCAATGTTGCAGTTTCTAACTTTCATAAAATAACTCAAACTTATCTTAAAAGTGTTTACTGCAATTTAAACTTACTACATTCACAAAACACATTAAATGTTTTACATTTGCAAGTTTAGGACTTAGGAAGGATTTTTCCCCCAAGACTAGAAATTGTGCTTGCTCCATTTGTTTCTATCATCTTTGAATGTGATGTGGTGATCTGACTTTCAGCTGACCTATTTGTTGTGTAAGTCTTAAGCTTATTTATTTCACAGAATTTAAATTARAAAGGCTCTCTAGAGGTCACTGGTCCAAGCCCTGCATCTGAGGCAAGAAAATTATTAGCAAGACATCTGTTAAGACCTGCTCTTCCTGAATGGTACTATTTCTCCCACTTCAAAATAATAGTATTTAACTGTTTGGAACTGTTGTATTGACTGCTGAAAAGCAACTCCACAAACAGCAAAAGTTTTGTTGTTTTTGTAGTTTGGGTGAAAGCAGAGTCTCTTTTTGAAAGCTTGACCATGACCTCCTTCCTGCTCCTTCTCAATCCAAAAATTAGGCTTTAAACTACTTGCAAACCCTTATTATGTACTTGAACAAAAGAGACAAACAACACACAAACTGCTCTCAGTGTGCCTGTTTTCTTTMATCCACAGAGGTATACGGTGAAATCATAGCTGAATTGAGAGCTTGAAGCAGACACCAAGCGAGACCAAAATCAAGATGCCTTGCTTAAAACAATAGACTGCAATAGTTGGCCATTTTCTGGCAAACAGATGCCAGTAGTCCCCATCTGCTATTTTTAAGGAATAAAGTTTTAAAAGTACCTTTTGTTCTGCTGAATCTAATCTTCCATAGCTTCAGGAAAGAAGAGTCCACACTTACTGGGCTCCATTTCGGGGCAGACCTCAAATTATTGGAAGTGGCTTAGCCTGCCCTTAGCACCAGCAGGAACTGTTGTTGCCAGGAGCTGTGCCTACATACAGCCTCCTTTACTGTAGTCTGGCTACAGGATACTGCAGGGGAAGGCAACACTGAGAAACAAACACTGAATAGCATCAGCTTTGGTACCAGTGCCTTATCCCTCTAATTCATGTGAAGACTCCTGCCTCACAGGAATGCTGCAGCTGGAGGTTGTTAGCACAATTGCTAATACAGTGTATGTAAGATTGGGAGTTCTTGAGTTGTTCCCCAAAGCTATGTTTTCTGTACAAATTTAATTAAAAGCTATGTATTTGGAAATATTCTGTAAAAATAGACAGTTCTCAAAAACTTTATTTTACAATGTWATTTCTGGACTAATGACAGTACAGCATTCCTTAAACAGAATACACTCAAATACAGTTAATTGGCATTTTTCAGTACCTTCCTTTTTTAAAAATCAACCTAGAATTTGTAGGAAGTGTCTTGAGAGTCCTTTCTCCACTCTGGAGCTGCAGTGAAGGCAATGACACTGCATCATAATTGCAATGAGSAGAACCATAGAGTTGTTGACATTGGAAGRGGCCTCTGAAGGTCATCTAGGGATTGTCTGGAAACAAGGACATRCTTAGATAAAAATTTCCCTCCCTTTTTCCCACCAGGCTTCCTGAGTCAAAACATGCAGTGTSAGTATCAAATACAAACAGGAAAAAATCCCTGAATGTGTAGAGAGAACTGTTATTTTTTTTTTAAACTCCAAAGCAAACCTCTTATGCTTTGTAAATTGGTAAATATCTTGTTTACATTGTGAAGACACTCCTGCTTGGAGGCAGTCTTGGCAAACCCATGGCAGAGGAAAAGTTTTATCCATTTGTAAGTACCATATCTACACACTTCCTCAGGATTAGAGAGCTGTTGCTTATTCAGGAYTTTTCAGAAGTTCCCACAGCATTCACAAGTTGAGCACCAAAAGTACCCAAGTGTACAGATTTAAATAAAGAGGTGGTGAGTCACAGCCAGTACATTATCAGCTTCACCTGCCAGGCAGAAAGTAATTAATCTATTTCTTTCCTTTTTTCATCATTTATCCTATATTCCACAGCTTCTTGAAATGGCTCAAATTAAAGTAGACTGAAGTTAATTAAATTACATTAATTGGATAAAAAGCAAGTACTTCTTTGCATTCCCTAGCAGAAAACTAGTCTTTCAACAGCAGGAGACTAGGAGACTAGGCACAGTATTTAAATGAAACATTTCTTATTCAGACCATCAATGATCTTTTCTGTAGTCATTTCCAAGCTGTGACTAATCAAGGTTTTATCAATCTATTCATTAAGACAGCTTCTGAGTCACTTACCTGCAGTTATATCTCACTTCCTATATAGATACTTGACTGAAATCCCTGGTTGGCATCATTTTTCCACCTCAAACCTCGCCTCAAAAAAAATTTAAATGAGCTTTTGAACAAAGAGAATAAAATGTGCCACTGAGTAAAATCTAAAACTACTCGATACTCAGAACAAAGTAGAGSCCACAAAGTGTATTACAATCAGGATTCAGGTAAAAAGTTAAAACAAGCTTTAAAATTTCTCAGAAAAAAATGCTGGCAGACTGTTATCACGTTAGTTTTTTTTTAAAGTGTCTACACTTACATTCCTCTTCTGACTAGAGTCCTGACAGTCGCTACATTCGTCCATGATACTTTTCACACCCATATTAGAACTAACATTTCTATAAAGTACTATTCATAACCTCCTTTAATCTCATGTCTGTCCTGTTATTTCATCGCTGTCATCTGTTACTTTGTCTAGCTGTAAATCCAGATACAATTTTTTCTGCTTCATCTTTTCAACTGCAGAAAGAARGAGGGAAGGACTATTCCTCATCTGCCCTTTGGAGAAGAGCTGGACAGTTTATGATACGAASTTGTAAAAACTATTCCCATAAGAGTATAATTAAAAGAAAGACACCTACCTCATAACTGCTAATTATCTTGACTACTGAGAATTTCTATCAAGGGTAATTTCCATCAGTGAGCTCAGTCTGTTCCTTAATTGGCTGTTCAGATACGTAGTCATTTCAGAACACCTCCTCTASAAATGTTTCTGCATTTACTGATCTAGGGATGATGGCAGACACCAGAAGAGCTCCCAGAATGACCTTGGTGATTTACTAGTTTTAGTCTGACAATATAGAAATTTACAAAAATTGAGTTTATTAACAACTTTCAGACCATCATAACAAGTGTGGTAATAAAAATCAGATATGGTAACACACAAAATACTTTATTCAYACAGATTGTGTGTCATTTTACCAGTGCATAAGATACAACAGGTTTAGAGAACTTTGTCCTGGGGTATTGGTAACCTTTACTTCTAGACTGTGTTTTCTATTGCTGCTCTGCTTCCACACTTCCTGATGTCAGGATATTCAAGTCTATAAAGAGAGAAAAAACGAGTCAAATAATCTGTAGCTCTAGTTCTGTTTCTTCATTTAAAGTCATAAGAGTAAAGTGGGAAAACAATTAAGGTTCTTTTATATCTCAAATCCACAATCTTCTTGCAGGGAATAACACCCACCAGCCTCTGGTTTCTGTGCTTGGCAAAAAATTAGCGAAGAATGCAATAACAGACCCAAACAAAGAAAAACTTTGGTACAACTATCCCTCACTGTAGCAATAAAGTGGAAGAGTGCTTTGCCTATAGCAGAATGCCCATAGGATTGTGTGAGAACCTGCTAGAGCCTGGTACCTTTTGAAAGCAGATCAAGGAAAATCATCGACATCTGTTACACTTGTATAAGCAGCTGTGACAGCAGAGGACTCTCACAGCAGTACCCAGCAAGTGTGGGTGCCAGAGGAGCTGTTCCTGCAGAATCTTTCTCTAGCAGCCCCTAGCTTGGCCCCCACAACGCTCTGGGAAAATCAGTCCTGATTCTCAACTTGTTGGGGCAGCTTCTCAGGTTGGGCAATTTCCAGTGTATTTTGAGATGTCAGTGAGTGTGGACTCTGAGGACTTTCCCAAGCCTGGGTGTGGGGAAACACTTCCTTCTGGCACCTCAGCATTGTTACCCCATCATAAAACAGAGTAAATAAACACTGATAAAAAAGACAGAAAGAAAGAAAAAAGGGAGCGGGGAGAGAAAAGGCCTCTAAGCACTGATCTTATAGGTCTGGAACTTCAGCAGTTCCGGCATGAAATTAAACAGCCTACCACTCTTCTGACTTTGCTACAGCAGGCATGTGAAAGATTATCTGAATAGCATTTATCCCCCACCTCCTTGCCACTGTCCAAGCTTTCCTCTGCTGAGCACAATRGGGCATGTGAAGAAGGAAGAGAAATACGTGATCCATACATTTGGCACTAGCAGAGGTTTTCCATAGTAGGGAAAGCAACAGAAGAAAAAACAGGATATGGGTACAGCATGTTGGTTGCTGAGACATCAGGAGATACATGATAACCTCCATCCCTTGTTCTTGGGACCTAAAAGCAAACACATTAGCTGGCAGATAAATATACATCCCACGCTCCTGTCTCACCATAGGCTGGAGCTCTGTCCCATCTTCATTATCCTGGAATGGTCTTGTGCTTCTGTGTTTYTGCCCTTCTGTTAACTTGTTACTCTGACTCACAAAGGCCTGCAAGCAAAAACGAGGGTGAGATCGTCTGTGAAAGGAAACTATTATGTAAATAAAAACACCTGGTAAAGGAAGATAATTAGCCCAGGGCTAAGAAACTGTAGCTGATTCCTGGCTGGATGACACAGAGTGATACYGGGAGGGACTGCAGAGGCAACAGAAGTGATGAATGCAACTAAGAAGGATGAATCGAGAATCTCTGTTACATCTCCTACTGCAGGAATGAGGACTCTGGCTGTATGAAATCCCTTCCCCGACTCTCCGCCCACTGCTGCATATTGTCACAAAGCCTCCCACCCCCGGGATATTTGTAACCGATTGTAACACAGACAAGTCAAATGCCTTAATGTGTTGGGAAACTCCAAATTCTTGTCTGTGCGAGCAAACTTACTCTTGATCATACAATGAGGAAGAGCTTGGATTTGCTGCCCACGGTTTTTCCATACAAGGGTAAAGAGCCTGTCCTGCTTGGAAGACTCCTTGTCCCTGTGGGAAATCCTCTTCACCCACAGCTCTAGGGCATGGCTAATTACACAGAATTAAGACCAGAATTAAAGAGAAACTACCACAAAATTTGGAAGTGGAGAAAGGAAAGCCTCTATTTTATGAAAGAAAATTCGCTTAAGAAGTATTTTAGCATTTGGCCAAATGGAGAGGGAAGAACGGAGGTGAAGGCTTCAGAGTTTTCCATTCAGTTTCGTATTCCSATCCAGGAGATGTGTTTAAGTACTGTTCTGAACCAAAGCCAAAGAATATTTATYTGCTTTCTTCTGTAAAAAGGGTTAAGCCTCTCTTTAGGCTGCTTTTTTTTGTTGTTTTCTTGTTCTCCCCAACAAAATTCTATGAACATTACAGAAACTCTAACCGCAGAAATAAAAAGATAAATAAAAACCAAAACCCAAAACCAGTTCCTCTCACATTGTCCTAAAGAAATTAATCCAGAACATTTGTGTCATATGAGCTATTCTGGCTGCTGGTTTTTTATATAAGCTATTCTGGCTGCTGGTTTTTTTGGTTTTTTTTTTCATGGATCACTAAGATTTTCTCTGTTGCATAGTTTGTGAAGGAAAAGACAGAACTGTCAAAAATAGCGCAAAAGGAAAAAATATATATATGCATCTTCAGATATTCCCTAAATTAGAAAGGGATTGCACATATATATTCAAATGCTTCAGTTACACACTACRTCACTATTAGCTAAGTACTGAATGTAATACAATACAGTAATTATAAGGGTAAAGACACAGAACAACCAGACCAGAGGCAGAAGAGTTTAMTCAAGAGATAGAAGACAGTGATTTGGCAAAAGAAGGTATGAAGCAGAGCAACTCAGATTTGCATGAAGTTTGCTAAGAACTACAGCACCTGTAGAATGTGGAATGGATCCCTGACCTGCTACTGGYAACAAGAAGCTCCTTGTTTATTTTTTCTCATCACTGTACAGTGAGTCACAAGAAATATAATCATGAATCTTAGGGCACCCCATGGATCAATTTCTGCAGTTAGCTCATCTATTTATTTGTATTTTTTAATTATCAACAATATATTGAAGATCCATCTAATTAGGCCTAAATAGTCAGCCATTACTTACAGAACATGATCTAAAAGRAGGCAGCAGATTGTAGCTAGCACACAGGGGTTAGAGGGAGCCATTTACTTCAGTTTATAAAYTAATGCACCTGTATCCCTGAGTCCATCTCCTGTTCAAAGGTGTTGGAAAGGAAATAACACGGATTGTGGGTTCAGATTACTATGTCTTGGGGGAAGAAAAAGTGCTTAAAAGCTTAGAATGTCTCAAATAATTTTGCTGTAATCAGTGGGGTTTACCAGCAGCTCCTGGTCCACAAAGTATGGYTTCTCTGCAGTTCCATCATTTGTTTCCATATCAATAGCAAAGCAAAGGAACATGGCATCTGCTGTCACTTCAAACACAGACAGAAAGCTGTGGGACATCARGTAGGCAAAAAATCCAACCAGCAAGAGAGGAACTACCCATGCTTGCAACTCCCGGTGGTAGTTAAATGCCATCAGTCCTCCAAAAACAGTAAAGCATACCACAAACACCTGTAAGGCAGTGAGAGCAAAGTGCAGCTTCATCATTCATGTAGGAATGTTTCCCATTAAAAAACCAATCCCCCCAAACACTGAGGCAAATATATTACAGCCAGTATTTTAAAAACATATCTCCTATCTGGGAGATAGCTAAACAGTTTTCAGCATCACATATTTGTSACAGTTTGTGTTCAATTCCATGTGTAAATTCCATAGGGCAGAGGAAATCTTTTGCCATATATTAAACAAAACCTACTTGTTGCAATGGGAACTGACAGAGCAGCTCCAAGGACACTGCTCTATATTATTACTGCTATAATACAACTAAATAACTGCAAAGTTAAATTTCTCAAACATTCTTCTCTCCCAAACTCATTTTATAGCATTAACAACACTGAATTTAACAAAAATAAACTTTATTTCCTTTAGGTATATGAAGAGAATCAAATCTATTTTTCACTTCATTTTTACAGAACAGTTACTTTGTTATTCTTCTTACCTTTCCYAAAAATAGGAGAAAATCTCCAAAACAGCTAATGGATGCAAGTTTAGCAGAATTCCTTTCCAAAATACAGATGGCATCCTTTGCTGATGTACAAAAATTTGTCCCATTTATGGCTGTAGTTGTGTATGCATGCTGAAATGACATAATAATGCAGTGAGAGAGGAAACACACTTAATCTAGATTTAACTTCAGCAAAATGCAAAGCCTTAAATTCTATTTGGAAATACTGACTTTATGAATATAAAGAGTTCTTTTGCATAATAAGGCAATTTCATTTTAAATTCTGTAATAACAATGTCTCTAACTTCAACGAGTTTTTCTACATAATTTCCACCATTAGCAAATGTTACAATGACTAAATAAAGTTCTGAAGCCACATTTATCCAGTTTACGTTAAGACACTGAAGTTCTCTACCCAAATTTTTGTGAATGAATATGGCACAATTACCATAAAACGCCTGGAATCACACTATCCAAGCTTATAGGCTATCTCCAACACTGCTGGCAAGCTATGTAAGTGCAACAATGAAGTTATGTATTTACCAGATCATTAAAGGTTGATTATTGAAAAGCTTTTATACATGGCTCTTTTAAACTCCTTAGATAATAGAGAATTCAAGCTCATGGTCATAGCCATAAAATAAAACTTTTCATGAAAGATGAAACCAGAGAATGACGGGAAAAGAACTGAAGGATCCTGGACTAGACCAGTGACTGTAATGTCACATGCCCCACCCCACTCTGAACAACAGACAATTGGGGCACTCCCAGTTTTTCAATGKATTGAGAATTTGACATTATAACCCTTTGTGGAAACTTGCCTGGACAGGTGATAAGAATAGAATATTTACCTTCATGGATTTGAGTATTTTTGCACTTATGCATAAATTGACATATATGTCCCATTTATGGAACTCCTCAACAAGGTTTTGAAACTATGTCCAAAATATCAGCTRAGAAAAGCAGTACTCACAATACTTGAAACACGCTGGCTTTACCCGAAATTCTTGTGAGTAGTTTCCCTTTACTCAAAATATTAGAAGGCAGATTATGCCACAAAAACTTTAGTCACATCTGGTATGGTCAGTAAGARCCAGAGTGTGCAAGGGATTACTGTTCTGAAGGAATGTATAAACTCAAACATGCTTGTGGTGCTTACATTGCTTTCTGCTTCACCTGGAAGGGAAAAAAACTAGCCCATACATGGCTTGCTGAAAGTGAATCATTGAATTATACTGAAACCTCCTGTTCAAAAACTTTGTTTTTCTTACTTACAGTTCAAAATATAAAATAACTTCAGATMTCTGAAGCAAAGAAAATTTATTTCTGTAGAATCCAGTTTTAYCCCTGAGCAATTTCTGTAGCATAATGTAGTGTAGCAAAGCTATAATGACAGTSCCTTAAAATACTACAGAGARAAAGAAATKAAAAGCAATGCAAGCYTTTTTGTCTCTTTATTGTGGATATYATTTTTATGAAAAATAGGTATWTTTCMTCTGATAGTAAAGAAACAACCAKTGACATTCTGTAAATATTGTACTTATTTGCAAATACATCCTTAGATGGAAAAAATATAAATAAACAGCATGGATTTATTGCCTACTCTACAAAAAAAAATCAGAGACTCCAATGAACTCTACAGAAACTTGACAAGTATCTGCATAAAAATATTTAAACAAGCAGTTCACTTAATTCCTAAATAGGAAAAAATACTTTCTGGGCTGATTTTCATTTATCTTGATGCTGTTCCCTTCCCAGCAGGATAGTGTCACTCGGGAATATCCCAGGATGTGGCAGCAGAAGAGCTGCCAGTGCCAGCCCTGCTGGCCCAGGACACAGGCAGAAGAGATGGCCTCACATCACACTCCCATCACACTCCCTCTGTCTTCCATCTGCAGCTGCATATTTCAGATATAGACAGATTTCTCTTTATAATGTGCTGTGAGTTAAGTCTGTTTCATCATTCCCATTAAACAGACAGGGAACTGAGACACGAAGTGGGAAAGTATTTTCTAATCTTGTTTCTGTCCCTTAAGAACTAAATTCACAGAGCAAATCCTGATCAGGTGAGGTCAGTATTAATTTCGCCAATAAATTAAACAGAGATTCTGTGTTCATTATAAATTGCAAAAAAAGTGTGTTTTAAAAATTAAAAAGAATGTTGAAAATGCACGTGTGCTTGTACAAACATTGTTTCCAAACTTAAAATAAATATCCATTTGTTTGCACTCTTGAAGTAGCCATGTTGGTATTCAAAGAATGTGCAATGAAAAGAATTTCTGATATTTATTAACTAGAATKGTTATCTTGGAAAGACTGAAAATAATGCTGGAGACAGTATGCTACCTGCACAGGGATTTGTTGTGTTACAAACCAGCTAATAAAAAATGGCATTTATAGCAGTTACAACTTAAACAAATCATGTAAGCCTTACTTAATGAAAATACTKAAGAAACAAAGGCAACCCGCTAATAAGCTAACATTATAGAAGGAATMAGAGACAGAAATTAATGAACTGCTGAATGCCACAAAACTAGTCAGACACAGGTGAAGCAAGAATATTACTAGCASAATTGGAAGACTTAGCTAAGTGGTCTCTACCTTTTAGCAAAAAATAAATTTCTGAGAAAAAAAAAATATTTGGAGGATTTCTCATTCAGCCTAGAATCTCTTTCCATACACTYTCTTCACAATTCTCAAGTTTCTCATACAGGCCCCATGTCCTGATCCCATCCAGCCACATAGAAATCTACATGTTCTCACTAAAAAAMCACATCAAACATTTAAGCTAACGTAAGTTTCTGTCAAACTCAGCATTGCACAAAAATGAGCTCAAGTGATTTCTCAACCTTATTCACCAAGTAACTCCTAAAACACACAAGCTGTTACCTAYATTTGCAAATAATTTTGGACTTTGGTCTAAAAGCTTAAATATCCCATTAAGTTTGAAATTGCAGGATATGTGCAATAATCCAAAGCCTTTTAAATTAATGATAATTGTGAAGGCTAATATGGTATGCCATGATCAGTTAAGAACCTGCTAACATTTAGAAACAGATTATTTAAATATGGTTTTCTACAGAATATATTCTTTTTCCATGCACAAAAGCTTTAGTGGACTTCAAAATGTTTGAGAGAAGGGAGGCAGGAATGATCCAAAAGGTATGGAATGTCTTCTGTCTGGGGAACACCAGGCTCTTCTGTCTGGAAAAGAGATGATTGAAGGAGGATGCAGCAAGAGGGCTACTGACTCATGAGAAATGCAGAGAGGCTGTGTAGGGTTAGATGGCTCACTGTTCCTTCCAGAACAAAGACCAGGCAGGGGCAGGACAGTATGAAGTAGTAAGAGCCAAATTTGAAAACAGATGGTATTTCTTCTCGCTATAAATCTGTAAACTGTGAACTGTTGGACAAAGGATGCTTTAGCTGCTAAAAGTTCACATAAGCTCAAGGGAGACTGAGAATTTCAGGGAAAAGGAATCCACTGAGRGTTATTAAACACACAGAAAACACACTCTGTATAAGAATCCCTAGGTTGAAAACAGATTCAGAAACAGCACAGAGGCAGGGAAATATTCTCTTGTTCTACCTTAGCATTTACTCACAGTCWCTACCGAAGACTGGATACTGAACTAGAAAGAGACTTAGCCTGATCCTTATGTACATATTAGATCTTACGTTTTTATCTTTGCTTAATGACCTGATCTTTCACAGTGGTAGTCTCTCTATGGTGACAAGCAAGTAATGGCAGCATTGATAGCACACAGTTGGTCAGAAAGCATGGGAGACAGTGGYTCAGGAACATCCTTTATCCTTGCACTAGCATGCTGATCTCGGATCGCCACTTCTCTGAAGAACACAAGCCTCTTCTGGCTTGGGGCCTGGGAACTAGACAGTGATTTCTCAGTGTCAAGATGAATAAATAGGGAATGTGAATGTTTACATATTTCCAAATATCACAGTATTCAAAAAAATCCTATTTAAAGAATATATCCTTCTGTGCCTCACAACACACAATGTCAAAGGTCTTGGAAAAACTGACCTGGTAGTTTCATGAGAAAGGCGCCGTGGCTCACATCCAGGCTGTAAGTTCCCCAGTTGTTGAGAATAATTGCTACTTTGTGTAACAGCTGAATTCAGCCCTCCCTTCTACGGCTTGCTTTCATAAAATGAGCTTGGGGAAGAAAGAATTGCCATAGCAACAGAATCTTCTTAAAAAAGAAGAAGGAGTATTGCTAGTCTCTCATCCCAGTTCAGCTTTTCCTGCTCTGCTGGTATTTTCAGCCTGATCTGATCTTGCTGCTGCCAGCTGTCTTAGGGGCTGCCCTCGTTAGCTATACATAGTGCAGTGTGGTGCAGCTCAGGCTGGACCTTAAAGTGTCTTAGCCTTCAAGTGTCACTGCTGGCAGTGGAAGCCCCTCACAAAACAAAATCCAGTGGCAGCAAGAGGCAATGACATTTGCGGCTGCTGTGCAACAGTTGGKGGTCTGGTGAGAAAGTTGGATCATGACTGTCAGAGAGTGGTGGGAAATGACAGCAAGGTGGACATGTGAGGCCCCACTGAAGAATGAGGACATACAGGACTGGAAGGGACTTTGAGCCACTCCAGKCCCTGCGTATTTCAGATGTGCACATTACACAAATCTTCTCTTAAGTGGAAACTCCCTCTTTAAATCACTTAGGACTTCCCCTCTCCCAGGCCTTACATTTGGAGCTATTCCAAGACAGTTGTCCCTCTGGTCCTTAGGAACCCTCTTCCAACTTCAGACATTTACTCATGAACAATTTACATTCAGTTTTTCTGCTGATCTTGTCTGGCTTTTATCCCTCCCTGCTGTCTCATAGATGGGCTAATGGGCTTGCTCTTACCCTTTATTTGTCACAGGATATTCCACTCCCCCCAGTGAGATAAGACTGAGCACACAACCAGCAACAAGTACAATGGCATTGATCCTCCTCTTTCCAGTGCAAGTGTTTCATCTTGTACCTTCCAGAACTGACTCTGTGCTTCCCGCAGCCTTGTTAAATAAAGGCTACTGTCCTGTGGCTGACAAACACATGGAGAATATTGTCTTCCTCCATTTCTAATCAATAATCACACAGCTAATACACAAATGGTTATTATTGGTTCCCAGGGTAATTACCATCTRTAAGAAACCATCAATAATCTCCTGAATTTTCCCAAGTAGTCCAAAAAGGACAACTTTCATTTATTTCCACTCCACCTTATATTTGCAGTCTGGACCTGCTAGAGAAAATTTTCAACTTTCCTTGCTTCCTACTCTTGTGTCATCTACTCCCTCCATAGCTGTCATCCAGTGTGTAGAACCAACACAACTTTCTCCTCCAAGGGTAGCTCGGGCGTCCTTTCCTGCTGCATTACATTGTTACATGTGGGCTCCATTTCAGTGACAGGGTGGGTGACAAGGTTCCTGTTCTGTGTGCCCATTGCATCRTGATTACATCATTACTGGAGTTGCTTTCAGTGRCTTCTACACTTAGTGAGAAAAATGRTCTTATTTGGGATTTCTGAAATTAAATCAAACCAAACAATTCCAGAGAGTTGTTCATAAATTCCTCTATTTAAAAGCACTGAATTACTGGTTACTTGTCTAATTTCCTTTTATTTTCTCTCTCTCTCTCTCCTTTTTTTCTCTTTCATTTCTTCTTAATCAGATAAGAAATAAGAGAAAGGTATCAAAGTAAGAATTAGTCAGCTTTGTTGAACTCCATCCCCTACATGGTTCATCCTACAGAACAAGTAATATTTCCTATTATCACATATATMATCCTTGTATTTTCAAGAGGATTGAAAAATTAGCTCAATATCTAGAAGCAATTTCACCAGTACCATTAAAATGCAGTATTGTTTTTGGGAGGAAAAATAAGTACTTGATGGGGTGAGGCACAATGTGTTTGGCATGCAGAGAAGTGTGCTTTACAATAGCATGCATGAATTTTGGTTTTATCTAGGTGAATTCTCCACAAGGCATTTAACTGCAACCTCCTGATAAGCTTCCATCGGAGTTTTAACAGACAACCAACTGCCATAGATATATAACCATYAGACAGATTTGCTTCTGGTTTATTACACGAGACAATTGCTGGCTTTCAGTCTATGGGAAGGGTCTCTGTCTGAGGAAATGGGGTTCACACACTGCTGAATTCACTGACAGCCCAGAAGGCTACACTGCAGATAAAAACAGAGAAACCACACCCTGCTTGGCAACCCCTTCAGAAATCCATGCATTGTACTTTGGAGAGGTTGCTTTGCTAGCTGGCTGCAGATGGACCGAAATCAGACACAGAAAAGCAAAACCATCCAGTTGCATTGTTTCTAAAAAAAGTCACTGCAACAAGGCTGTAAAGGGAGAACATGTGAGCACTTTGATGTATCTCAATTTAGGACTGCCACTACAACCTAAGAAAGCAGGAGAGACMTTACAGACCTTGTAATTCCCAAACTACATTAAAAGCAGTATATTCTTTTTACAGAAAAAAAATTCAATCTCCTAGATTTTACTTGAGATGATTGGATATGTTTATCTGGAACATACTGAAACCATCAGAGCCAGATGAAAAATCTGTGGTAATTCTGACAAGTGTTGGCAAACATAACTGTCAAGTAAGGATAATGACTTTATATTCAGAATGCACTTTTCAGCCACAGAACCCAGAGTGCTTTACAATTGTTACTAATGGATTATACACACACATGAATCATTTCGCCCATGACTGAAGTGGAACAACTTAAGGAGTGAATTGTTTAACAGCACATAGCAACGCTACACCACAGTTYAACACAGGATCCAGTTGCAAATCCAAGAGAAATTCAGGAAGGCTGAATGTAATTGTCCATATTGCAATCTGCAGAGGACACTGGGCTTACATTACCCCTCCTCCAACAACCACCCCTGCAAATATGACAATTRCAGCATCTTGCACAGCACTCTGTCATGATGGGAAGATGACAGGATAACTCTTTGGTCTGATTCTGTTAACTTCCAGGAGAGCTCAACAAAACTTAACTGAGCCTGCAGAGAATGAGTCACTTCAGGGATGRATGCAACTACCAAAGTCTGTCAAATCCCACAAGCAGGATGGCACTCCAGCTCAAAAAGTACTCTTTGATAACATAATAGAGCACTTGATTCTGCATGGGAAGAAAGAAGCTTGCATTCTATCACCAGCACTACTTTCTCCAGCACCTGTTTCTCATCTGCAAGTTCTCAGAGGAAAAACAAAGTACTCTGTTTAATCCTGATTAAACTTGTAAATGAAAGAACAGAAAGAATTTAAATTACCTAAGCGATGTAACAATAGGTTGAAGAAAATAGTGCAGCAGTGATGGAATCTTTTCCCCTTTTTTTAAGGTTTCAGGTAATTATATGCTTTTTACTAAGTGAAAATAATACTAGAATAAAAAGCAAAAATATAGTAAGGAATGCTATTGTACACAATGATCTTTGGACCAACTTTTACAACAGCTGTTCTACATTTTAGGTCACACAAAAATCAAAATCGGAACTTAAAGAATACTTGGAAAACGTTAGAAACACAGGTACAAGCAATTTTTTTAAACCACTCCCTCCCACTAAGTCCTACTCTTTAAACCACTAAGTCCTACTCTTAAGTCCGTATTTAATATCTGTGGGAAATTTGTAGGTTGTTCTGAGCAGCTTCCACCAATCTCAGTAGGAGCTCTTAGGAGTTCACTACTTCTCTTAATCAAGCAATATGTCAAAGCTGCTTAAAAATGCAGACTTCTTTTTCTTCTTTTATTTTTTTCACTTTTATATTTGGCCACMGATTTTACAAAATTAAAGACTAAGATTTTCAATCATAGTCAATTTTTTTTTAAGAAATAGGCTTGAACAGATTAGTTATAGGGAAAAAAGAAAAAGGAAGTAACTAATTACATTCATTAATTCATTAGATTAATTAATTAATTATTTCTATGAAATGCAATAACCCAAGATGTTAAACCTTTATACAGATAAAAGTTCCATTAAAATATTGCAGTCTGTTCTTACTTTTTGTCTTCTGTAACTGTTGCCCAAATTGCCTTGGATTTGGAACATATGGACTACAGTCACCTTTGCCAAAATAATATTTTAAAAAACAGAACAAAAGCAAACACTGTATTATGATCATTAGATTAGAAACCACAACTCATATAAAAACAGAAATTTGCCTACAATAGATTAGGAAACAGGAAATCTTTTAAGGGAACAAGAGCTACAATACAGCCTYCTGAAACAAAGGGAAGAACATTACAGTAATTAATTCTTTCAACAAACATATAGCATACAACAGCYGGAGAAAGTAAACACTAGGATGTTGGCTATCTCTTTGAAAGGCAGGAAGCCAAGCCAAGGGGAAAGGGTGACTACAAATGGAAAGCCTGGAGTCAAAATGAACTCTGATATTCCTCACTGAATCACTGACCATAAGACCTACCTAGAAAATGTAAGCCTGGAAAATTCAGATTGCACTGCACAAGTTTTTAATCTAGGGTGARCTAAATTAAAAACTTGCTCTTCATAACTTTCCAAGATTAAGCCTAATTCATGTACCTCCTTAGAGGTAGAAGAGGAGAAGTCAGACCTTTTATCAGAATTGTATTGTTTACTTCACTACTTAGCAATGAGAACAACTCAGCAGTCAGAGAAGAATCAGCATGAATGTATTATTCCCTGTTACATTAAGAACACCATAGTCCCCAGAGATAAAAAGAAGGCAATGACAAAGACAAAAATTAACTATTTATTTATATTATGTATATATAAAGCTGGAATGCATTTGGAGAAAATAATTGGGAAGGCAAAAAGAGGTGTCAATAATCTGTAAAACTGCTGTATGTCAGACATCATCCATTTCCAATAATGGATTTTAAACCTTTTAAACAAGACTGCTAACAGCATGGATCATATTTCCAGATCTACTGATTGTGGTAATCAGCCAGGAATTCAAGTTTCTTTATTCAGGACTTTCAGGTGGAAAACACTGTAATGAGTTTAATGACTCATCTCCAGATATGTTTCCTAATTCTTCATTGCTTCATCCCACCTGGGCTCTCTGGTTTCAGGAGTCTGTCTGGCACAACTCAACAAAATGCCAAGTCTTCCTACCTACAAAATGCCAAGTCCYCTTACCTACAGGAACAGCAAGTCACCCTCTGAAATGGCCTTGCATATCTGTCAATTCCCTGTTTCTTTGAAACAAGTTCCATCTACACTTGAAGGCTTTTTTTGTATGTTTAGTTTAGGCGACGCCCTGGCTGCGGCTTTTTAGCCATGCACCCACACATGGTGTCCAGACTAGGCTGAGCGACAGAGATGACAGAGCATACCTGGTTAAAGTATCTTAAGCATCTTTCCTGGCAGCAAACACAGCAGAAGCAGCAGTTGAAAAGGCACTTTGCATTTTTCTGCAATAAAATGAAATGACACATAATTAGCCTCAAACAAAACCACCATTTTAAGAAAAAAATCTTGCCTTACAGGTGACTGACTCTTCTAATAAAGTTTTCACTTARGCAGCAGATATTTCCATTAGGATTTTAGGATCTAAGGAACTGTTTTTTATTCAAACTCTTAAATGTTAATGATTGACGAGCTTTGCATATTTTTTTCTTCCTATGGATGGAAGATTCTTCTCTGGGAAAAGAAAATAAGTTCTGCAAGCAGCTTTGTGAACTAATGGCTGCCTGGGGAGTCAGATAGGCAGGCAAATCAGTAACCCTTACAACACTTCACAGTAATCACAGAGCACAGTGACTTTTAACTTCTTTGATTATCAAAAACCCTTCACAGTTCTGAAATGATGGGTCCCCTAATGAACAAAAATAAAACAATGGGTAGAAGGGCTTATATGAACATATATATATTTTGACTCAGAGTATACATTCATTTTTCAGGACAGGAAGAAAAGAATTATATTAGAACAGGCTATTATCATTGAGCTACWTTAATTTCATAGTAAAAGCAGAGTAAAAAAGCTCAGTGTTTGTTCCATGCCCCCACACCCTCTCCACATCTGAGCTCCAAACAGTTCATCACAGAGATGATGCAAGACAAGAAAAAGACATCTTGGTGTCCATGGCAGCCTTGCAAATTTAAGTGGCTGTTTTCCTCAAYAAAAGGAACTTCAGATCAGGGATAMTTGAGTCTCTTTAATCTTCTTTTTCCAGAGGTCAGAATATTTTTATGCTGTTTTGGAAAGTAGAGATCTTCCAGTCACTGTAGGAAACTCAGGTGCCAACAACTACCATTGTTCAAATAGAAACCACGTAGCTCCTAACATTTTCMAAAAAGGTTAATGAAAATATTCCAGGAATAACTCCTTCCAAACAGTGACTGTATGTGCAAACTTCTGACAGAGAATAATCTTGCTGTGTATTGCTGGAAAGATGATTTTACTAAAACTGTAATATCTCAGTAAGTACTGCTTGTTAGAAGCCTAGAGGAAGAGATTTCAACTACAATCTCCTCTCTGATTCTGCTTGAACACTGGTGTGTAGAAAACATCTGTAAATTTCCTGCAAGCTTCCAGATGCCTGGCTTTTTCTGTGTTCACAGAGAACAGCAGCGCTTTTGCAACGGTGGGGAAGCCTGGGTGAGCTCTATAAGAATGCAGCATCTCTTCTCCATCCTTTTGAAAGGGGCTATAGCCTGTCCTTTCTCCCTTCGAAGAAGAAAGGTTACTCTTGGGGGGATCCTTCCAAGGACTGAGGACATGAGCTGGCCTGAGCACTTTCTAGCCTCTTTAGCAGCAGTTACAGCTATGGGTCATGCCATTGAATACTTGGGAACTGGACTAAAAGAATCCAGTGCTGCAGACACAAATAATCTTTCTTTGCTGATTCAATCTGCAGTTATTCAGTCACAAAATCATGTAACAAGCAAGTCTTGCTTTCTCTAAAGGCAGGAAAAGTTCCARTTTGTCCCACCTACTGTCTCTATACAAAGTTCTCAGTTGACACATTTCACCAAGTTCTATAATCAGAACTTTCATACAAAAACCCAGACCCCACCTTGCAAGTGTTTTATTACAGGCRGTTTTTATTCAAGCATTTACAACCTATACCTATACATGCCTCACAGGTATGGTCAATGTAAATACCCTGTCATAACTATACATACCATGCTTCAAGACTAAGGTAAACCCTAGAGGAAAAGACCTGCATTTAAAACCTTCTCTTCAATCTTCTCCTAAAATCAGAGCTGTGCATTCATAACAGACCTCCCTCCTCACAAAAGGGACTACAGTGGTGTGCTTCCAGCAGAATAGATGTGGAGATGCACAAAAGATAAAAAGAAGGCAAAAAACATTCAAAACTGCCCAGCTCTGATTTTTATGTATCTTAAAAGATGTGTTTTGGATACTACATGAATCTCAAGAATAGTTCTTGCTTCATATATTCTTTCTACAAAATCTTATTACAAAGCAGAGGAAATATTTTCTATAACAGATCTTAAATCTTAATCTTCTCTAAACCTTCTTAAATGCTTCTTAAATATTTATGATGCAGAATTTTTAATAGAGCATTCTGCTAAATTTTTCCTTTATCCTTCATAAAAACCTTTATATATAAATACTAAATAAAGGCGGGKTTAATATTGGTATTTTCTGCTTTTAACAATATCTGAGTCGAGAATAAACAGGAAGCATTGACAGTTAAGTTGAGAGGAAAAAAAATCTTTCCTAATGAAGAAAACATRATAAAATATAAAATCCATGCAATATAATCTATTTTGAAGCAAGAAATATATTCTTCACTTTTTTTGCCCCATGATCGAATCTTTACATTACTATTTTTATAGTGTTACAGAAGTATATACCTACCTTTTGGTTTAGAATATTGTAAAGGTACAAGAAAACAATCCTTGGTATTCTCAGTATTGTGATTAGAAACGAACCTTTTATAGCAGTTCCTAGATGATAGCAAAAAAGAACTGATATGGAAGACAGGACTGGGTGAGGTGGTGGACTATTTTTATTTCTAGAAAGAAAAAAAAATTATAAATGGTTTAGAAACATTTTTAAGAAGATAAGCATTCTTTTCAGTATTTGGAAATTTTAAAGGTTAAGCTGTTATCTCCTTTCCTATTTGAACTATTCCAGTTTCTCCAGTGACCTCATCTGAATGCTCACCTTAGTTCAAAGAAAAGCAGCCAAATTTATAACTTCTGGATTAGTTTAATTCTAAGCAATGACTGTTTTCTGTAATGGAAAAATACCTAGGAAAAAACCTACAATGGAAAGTAGAAGTAAATGAAAAATATCCAAGAATACTCCTTTGAATACCTCTCTCCAGTTTCTGTCACTTCTCTTATTCTCTGCAATCTTTTATTTGACTGTTGGTTCTGCAAGATTTTAGTCAGAGCGAATGAATCCACTTTTTTTCTTCAGTGGCAAAATTAAAACTAGAAAAAAACCCACAAGTTCTCACAGGTAAAACTGAGAGCTATTAACTACTTCCATAGTTTCAATTGGTCAAATTTGGTTTTARATTTTGTTAAAATTATTAATGGGTTGGGTTTTTTCCCCCCCAGAACATGATTCCTTTTAAAATGGAATGCATAAAAAAAGGAATATCATACTATATGTTTGGAATCAYAAACGGAACTAAAAACCTTGTAGTTCTAGTGCACACTAACTGTATTGTTTAGGAGAAATAATCTCTCTGCCAAAATCAAAAAGCAAAGACCAAAAAAATGGCCTAAATACAAGTTTTATTTTCTTGYTTCCTTTATAAAGGTCAGTTTAATGTCAGTCATTTACAGACTGTACTATGACACAACTCTCAAGAATTTATGTAAAACCCAGGAAATCAACTTAAAGAAACTCCCTCACACCTTCTCAAATGCTGTAAAAAACTAAAAAAGATCAATTCGATTAACACTCTAAGTACCTTAAAAATGTTTCATAGGATTAAAAAAAACCCATGCCAGTCAAGTCATAATTAGCCTTTCTATAAAGTAACTCTTAAGCCCATGGTCCAACCCTGAAAAATTTAGTTAGGCAACAGAACCTAATTAGGCAGTTTGACTAAGTAGCTAAGTAAAGATCAGACCTAATATCACAAATAAGAAGCTCTGTTTTCAAAAGTGATTTCTTCAAAATCTCTGTTATCTTGAAAAATCAGCAGTTTGCACAAGAAATTAAAACATAAAAAGGCACCAATAAGAGAGTGACCAGTTTGGGCTGAAAAGCTCTAAAATATATATATATATCAAATCCTCACTGCAGCAAGGATTTAAATCATAAATACTATATTTAAGATAGGGATTACAGTTCTGCAGAGTATCCTGAACGTATCATTGCAGTTCATTCAAACACAAAAACTTTGCAGTGGAGAAGTGGTATTTAAATATGTGAATATACCACATTATTTGAAATAGGAAATTCCAGCAAAGCAGTTGCTACATTTATTATTTTTGTCTTAAAACCAGGGGAACAGCTTGGGGGATAGTGGAATTTTATACTGAATAAGGCAGTTTGAGGGTTTTTTTGAAGTCATCAGATTTCTACATTAGAAACACACGCATTGCAATATGGATTAATTATTCTATTCACATTGAGCCACTGTTTCTTTCTCCCCCATAAACTACCTTACATGTAACAGTGTCAGATTGATCTCAGAACATAAATTATTATGTTTCTGCAAGTTAACGATTAACTAGTGATAACACACAGAAAGGAGAAAGTTTATTCCTGTGTTAATAATGTACTTGTTACTAAGGAGAAAAATGAAGACGGKTTTTGATATTTTAAACAGGACTGAATAATGAGCAGGAATGCCAAAATTTGAAGCTTAGTTTAGATAAATTTTTACACATTTGGATGTGTATTTACCAAGCAAAAAAATTATCACAAGAACAGGGTCTGACAAGGTTTCTTGCTTTGCTTCTGAATAGATTAGAAAAAGAACAGATTTTCTTTGTAATTCTTGTTCAGAGTAGGAAACATAGGAAAGCAGCTCAACACAACAACAGGTGATGCTTGTGACTGTAAACAAGCTCARGGTTGGCTTAATCATCCACCTACTCCCACTGCTCTCAAGGCTGAAGTTTCACCCACCTTTGTACATTACATGGCTGCAATCCTGAAGTGACTTTAGTATACAATCATTGTGTAGTAGATTTTGTGCATGTGAATTCCACAGCACGTGCACAAGGTATCAGGAGAAAGTGGGAATCTGTCCMCAGCTTACTTTTTCTCTTTGATATTTCTATTTTATGTTATCATAAKATTGTTTGATTTACATACGACACTGCTATTCCAAAATCCTGTGGACCTGTATTCAATACCACATTATCTTTTAATAATTTTATTTCTTCAGTATTGTCACTTGCCATAATTTTCTCGTGAGTTCTGTGACMCTCATAATCTTTTTAAAAACCTAGTTCATTGAATCAAGTGATCACACATGATCTTGGCTTTCATTTTAAAAACATTTTAAAAAATGTAATCTTTACACACCCAACAGACATAGACATTTGAATGGSGGAAAAGGGCATTTTTAAATTTCTTTAAAATCCTGTCCTTTTAAGAGCTATGTTTACAGTTTTCTTCACTCATGTATCACCAATTTCAAAAACTGTTTAAAAATAACTTTAGTATAAAATACTTTAGAAGTGTTAAGGAATGAATCTTCTATTCCTCAAGTAAATATGAACCTCAATTTTTAAACAAATACAATATATTAAAAGATYTGTAATAAAAGATACATTATCAGACTAGCAGAGACCACCCAGACTGTACTTCCAACTGCCCTTTTAAATGATCTCAAAGGCACATGGGACAGGTCTGACTACATAGATGCTGCTGGCTTTTTTACATCAAGTACATAAGTAGRGCAAAGAATGTCCATAAATATTGCAGATATATTTGAAGAGCAAGCCTTTAGAAGSTGGTTCTAGTTAATCTCTCAATGACTTTGGTGCACATCCATTAGCCTTCATCTATGATTCACCAGGGGAAGTATGTATGTCACTGCTGCTAGAAGTTGTGGTACTAAACACCTTAGATAGATAACCCCAATCCTCGATTTGAAATCTGTGCAGTGATGTGTGCACTGGAGTTGCTAAAGAAGCTCAGACACGGACAGGACAGTGATGCCTGCGACATGGATCAAGTTACCATATCACCTTCCTTTATTCTCAGTGAGAGAAAAAGACTCATCTCCCTGAAAAAATAAACCTGTAACACCTAAGCACACCAAGGTGAGACTAAACCTTCATGTAAAACAGCAATTGTAACAAAGAAGGCCCTTTTCAAAGTTGTAAAAAGCAATCATTAAAAAAAAGATTTCTATTTATTCTTATTACATTAATAAAATACTTTGTGGATTCACAAATCTAAATAAAAGAAGGCATCTAAATAAAAGAAGGCAAAATCCATTTTCAATCATGGTCAAATATATGTAACCTGTAAAAGCTAATCCAGGTAAAATGATCCCCTGCCCATCCCATTTGAAACTCAGCTGTGGCTGTTGGCCATGCAGCACACTGCTGAGCGTGCTGTGGAAGGAGATTTCCGCAGGGAAAGGCCATGCCATTTCCTCGGAGCACTCACAGGGCCAGAAGAAAGCCTCTCTGTAAGGTACTATAAACAAACTTGTGACATGCCTTTATGATGCTGCTCCCAGGAGTACATTAAAAATGCACAGCAKACAAGCTCAGAATTGCTGAACAGCTGGAGATAACCCTTGCCCTTGCTAGYGTGACTGCTCCTGCAGCTAACCACCCTCTCCCCATTCCTGCACTGCTCTGCATCTCTGTGGATCTGTGCTGACAGCCTAAATGCCGGGACAAGGGATTACTGCCACAGAAAAATTGCATCTCCCCTTGCAAACACAACTCTCTGAATTCAGTACATGTCACCTGGCAAGCAAGAGGGGAGCTCGATGGTAGCTGTACAAAATTATATCAATACAATAGGGAGCAGGAACCTTCTGTACTTGACAGCCAGTTCCTGCAGCAGTAAAAAATAGCTGGAAAGCGGAAGCCCCTAATGCARCAGTAAATGTCATCACAGCAGTTTCTACAGGTGCTTCCCTGCTCTGCATGAACAAGATATCCCTTTGCCTTGGGGATTGATATGGCGTACTGTACCAAAATGCACTGCAGCATACAGCCCAGGAACTCAGCAGAACTACTTTACTTTCCTGTGCTTTCTCAAGCCAATTTAAACAAACCTTTAGTGCCCAGTATTCAGTTGCTAAAGCTGAAGCACATCAAATGTGCTTACAAGACAAGAGTCACTCACTATTCACAGCAGCACAGCCACATGAGTTCCCTGTGTTCAGAGCTTCAGCAGGAAAAACTTCCAGGTCCTATTATGGCATGTAAAATAGATTCCAGAGACCACCAACAGAAACTTGCTTCCTAAGTTTTGRAGAAGCCCAAAGTCACCCTTCCCAGCTCCCCAAGCCAGATGGCCCTGCCACCAGTGCTCCAAGAGCTGTCTCTGGCAAGGCTCCCCACCTCAATCTCACATCAGCTTCCTCAAGGGTTAATTTTTCAAAATAATCGAGGTTATCATGATATTCCTTTAATACAAAATGAGGAAATGCCTTAAAATGCCAGAGTTTTTCACAGATCAGAAAATCTCATCACTGGGCAAAGAAGAATAGAGCACTGAGGATGAGAGAGCTCATAAAATACTTATGAGGATAAATGTTATCAGGAAAATGCTCTCTTCATCATCAGAGAGCTCAACAACATATTGTGAGATTTAAATCTTCCCCTGCAATGAGTGCATAAATCCAATTTGATTTCATTTTACTTTTCTTCATTTCCTCCACATTTACCTTCCARGGAATGTAAAATTCAAGGAAGTTTGTTTGCACATGCCTAAATACTTAACAGTGTTAAAGCATTTATAGTTAACTGAAAATATCTGCACAGAATGAGAAAAAAATGTATTAGGCCAGGCCGTTATGCAGTCAGAACAAATGGAAATGCAGAGCAGGGATGAACACTTACAAAGAGGTCAAACTGTCATGAATACATGAAATTACCAAGAAACTATATATTGCTTCTCATTTGGAACTCACGCAGTCTCCTGGAAAAGGATCAGATGCAGCCTGTGCCTTCTGATTGGCAATTCCCTTAGAGTCTAATGGCTTATATCAAGGCTAAGTTTGGCCCTGTAACTCCAGCAGTTAGGGCTAAGTCACATYAATATCATGCACATTGCAAAATCTTACTCAAGATCTTCCAATAAGCAACATTATTTTATTATAAATTGGATTTTGGTATTTACATAAATTGCAGTCTATTGGAGGCTATTTTTCCTAGAAAAAGATTGCAAGTAAATGCTGCAAAATCCCCAAAACTGCAATTCTGCACTCACCTGTTGAAATAACAAGTAACCACTGCCCCAGCAATCACCATTTGCTGACAGGCAAGAATGAATTCACTAGTCCAGATAAGGCCAACGAAATGATACCATGCCATGTAGCAAATTCCAGACAGAGCTCTGTATTCTACTTGTCCTCCTGAAGTGGACTGTGCAGTACCTGAAGTTGGGATTACACCATTGTAATTATTATAACATGCCAGATAAGGGTGGAAAGGGAGGAGGGGATGGGGACAAAGAAGTACATGGAAGTGCTTCTGTGTCTGTTCTCCTTATTTCTCAAAAAATAAATCTTACAAAAAGCAAAAGATTGTGTTTAAATTGGGATTGAGAGACAGCTCAATAAAGGAAAGAGGAAAGCTACATATTAGTAAAGATTTCTAAGAGGACATTATTCAAGACATGAGTAATCAAATAGTTCAGAGGTAAATGAAATCTTAATGTTAATTATTTGAATTTTTWAAAAAATCATAGTTATGAAATGCTTTAGGGTTTTTTTTGTAAGAAGCAAAAGAGAAAGACTGCAGAAAAATATTAATAACATACTGTTGCAATGAAACAAAGTAGTATTTTAATTACTATTACTAAACAGAACCATGGCCATTGGTTTTCTGTTCTCTATGCTTTGCAATTGTTGTGGCCTTTTTGCGGGGGGGAAAAAACRTAGACATCTGTATACTACCACTATATGCTCCAAAGTTACTACTGTATCCAGGAACTTGGGCAAATTAATTTATTCAAGCTAAAATTATTCTTTTCACTACTGTTACTAACAAAGAATTTATTCCATATTCAATAGATGGCTTTTCACAAAAGGTGGGGGCAACTCATATTCCTCAACAATCAGACTTTTCTCTGTGTGATCCTATTTATGGCACTCAACTGCAAAGGCTAGTCAGGGGATAATGGCATTAGGACCATTTGGTCCAAGTGAAAGGTCTCTAGCTTCCTAACATGCTGCTTTTTAAATTTTTTTGTTTATTTTACCAAGCCTTCAGTCTATTAATGTTAAAGAGAAACATGTTCACCAAATAAAAAAATGTCTGGAGGTGAGTAGTTTCTTATTCCAGCTCAATGAAAGAAATAACAAAGTGAGGCATAGAACTGGCTATTACTGCTAGAACAGCAATAAAACTTAAGCTTTAATGCTTCATGTATTCATTTGCTGGATTTGGCAGTGGTAGATTTACAGCTGGAGTTGATGATCTTAAAGGTTTTTTCCAACCTAAATGATTCTATGACTCTGTGTTCTTCTACAGGATAACACACCACCCTTAAAGTTAAAACTACCACATTTACAAAGCTATCTAGGAAATGGTTCACTTCTGGCCTGTTTTTCTACAGCCACAGACTTCTTACTCAAAAATAGCTAAAAGTAGAAGCAGTAAAATTAGAAGCAGCAATCAGGTTCAAGTTTTTTAAGTTTTCAGAACCAAAGTCTATTTGTCTGTAAATTATGAAAGATATTAATCTATCCCATAGTAATACTGCAACATTATTTTAAAGTGCTTTGAAAGGATAAAAAAATGCTACATGGGTGAATAAATACAGACATGTTCTAACATTTTCTTTTCCTAGAGGTTAACAATATTGGCTGAACAGGCAAGTTCTTCTCCAGTGCTGTAYGGCTGGTCATTCATAGAACCACTGTTGTGCTTCCAATACACTCAAATGTATTTCAAGTCCGTGAATTCCAAGATATTTGATGTTTTGAAAAAGCTACTGCTCAGATCTCTTCTCACAAACTCTCCATCATTCCTCCCCATCCCATGCCTCCCTGGTTTTAAGTTTGCAAAAATGGTTTTTTTTTAAGGGGAGTTTTGGAGGATATAGTCACTTACTTAAGTCATTATAACAAGGAAGGCACTATATAATTCTGAATTCAAGAGATTTTTCATTTCCCTTGCAGGCTCCTGACTGCCTTTTCCTGCAGCACACAGCACTACAACTAGCCAAATACACTCATTATCCATAGTCTACAGCCCTTATTGAGGGAACTTYAGCAAACAATACATCAATGAGATACAAGGTGTCCTACCTCTCCGTTTTTATGCAAAGACATTATGCCATTTGGTAGCAGGATTAAGCACATGCTCCACCATGCAATCCACCTGAACACGTCTGTTTCCAAAATAAGCCTGTTCAGGCTTTGTTTCTGTAGTGTTGTAATGAGGACTGATAAATGCACATATGGCAAGTGAATTTTGTTTGGTTTTTACCAGCCTACTGAAATAACCACCTGCAGTAACAACAGTAATGGCTTTGTCTTTCCTGGCCAACCTTATAAATGGACATGTGCACAGTGCTGTGCTCAGCTGCCCAGGAATCAGCCAGAGCCACTTGTGAATTCACCTTTGATCACTTTGTTGGTCAGGTATGCTACACTATTTTTGCTTCTTCACAGAAGTCTGTTTACCAGTTAAACATCCACGTCTGATTCCCTGTCTTCTGTGCCTACCAGACATGCATAATCCTGTCAGCAGAACTACATGCAATGCTATTTTTCTATGTCAGTAGCTAAGATAAACTTTTAAGCTATCCTAGATACCCTGTTGAGAAAAGAATATGCCATTTTCCTCATCACTGTCCTGTGATCTGTTCATACAAACTAAACATTTTCAACAAAGCCCTGAAATACAGTTTAATCTGTCAATAGAATATTTTTCTCCAACTACACAATCACGAATCTTTCCAGTGTACCATACTCTCTTAGTGATAACGTTWACAAGTAGGTAAAGAAGTGAAGTCCCTACAGCTGAATCACCGAATCTAGAAGCCTTTGATCAGTACAAGTGTTGATCTGCTGCCAATACTTCAAAAGAAGTGATGTGAACAATGCAAACAGGCACAAGCATTTGCAGCAGAGCTCAGGAGAATTTCTCCGTGGGGCTGATAGCCCAGAGCTGCTCTGGCAGCCAGCACAGGAGTGCAATGAGGCACGAGGCACGGGTGGGTGCCTGCAGTACCTTCAGCTACATTTTGGGACTTCCAGACTTAGGTCAGATGTTCTTATTCGGTAAMTGCTGCTGTGAGGTTTTGCTGATGCCTGCAGCAGTAGGATGTTGTAACAAAAATTCCTTGGAAGTCTAGTCCAGCAATTTCCTTATCACAAAGAGYCACTGACAAGAAAGCACTGACAGCCTGTTTATCAGTTCCTGTTAACATGAAAATATGCTACGGCCCTCCCACTTCCCAGTGAGGAAAGTTTCTGGCATCATATGCTGAATCTTAGTGCTTCCTGCAACAGAGTTTWTTGTGTTATCTTATTCAGTATTTTTTCATGCAAATGTATTTACAGCTAAACTATCTGACTGCAATTGGAATGCTAAGGCCCCTGCAGGAAATACATTTTTATTGCTCATTTTGCCACTGCACAGCTTTATGCGGCTGTTCTGCTGCTCATCTGTCTGTAGGATGCAACTTCATTACACAAAAAACTCACACCACCTTCTACAGGCACTGTATTTTTGCCATGTGGACCTCACAGTTCCTGCATGCTGGAAAATTGAAAGACATGCTCTGCTGTGCCACATGGCCACTACAGTTCTGCAGTGAAATACCCACAAATTAATGAACAATWAAACTCAATAACCCTCAGACATATCAGCTTTTCCAAAGAACAGCTGAATTCCATTCTTAGCCAGCTAATGGTTCTAACTGGTGCCACTGCTTGTGCTGCCTAAAGTCTCATGAAGTCTTGGCTTTTCTCCTAGTTTTCTAGGTCTGGAATTCACTCAGTCTCTSCTGCTCTTACAGATTCTGAATTACCAAGGTACTTAGGCAAGGTGCYTACCTTAAAATGCATAAGTAGTCCCACTGATTTTAATAGGATTATCCATGTGTTTCAAATTAGTCATGTGCGYAAGTACCTTTCAAGTGCAGGCTATAGCTTTCTATAGCTCCCAARAAGTTAGTTTTTTTTTCTCACAATAACACTAACTTTTGGAAGAGAMGTAAATAAGGTGCCTGCATGGTGGCATAATGATCAGGTGCACCACAGCTGAAATGAGGATCAAGTACTCCAGACCCGTTAAGATGCAGAGGYACCATAAATATTATATAACTAGTGCAGACTGAAGGAAAATGTTAAGAACAGGTGCAGCACAGCAGCAAGCCAATTCCATTTACCCATCTCTGTATCACACAAAAGACTAGTATCTTTGTAAACATTTCAATTTTTTTCATCTTTCTTGGTTTATTTGCATTCAAAATACAGTCTGCACAGCCCCAGAAAATATATTTGTGAGATGAAAATGTCTAAGTGTCAAACCGAAGAAAATCACCACCTGTATTTCACAAACTGGATCCTAGATGGGCGACTATTTGTCAATCAAGAAAAGAAATTGCTCTGTAAGAGAACGCATATCTTCGGAGATCTTCACAGAAGTACTCKAAAGTGGTTCAGAAAGTCCCCAAAACTCAAAATAATAATAAAAAAAAAAAGTCTTCTACTTGCTCAACAATTGTAGAAAACTAATAATACAAAGGTGTGCTGTCAGTGCGTTATCACGCATACAGTATTGTATTGCATTTATCGTTATAGGATGTGTGAGTACGAGCACAACAAACCCCAACCTGTCTTAGGGTGAACTCCTTTAACACTCAGCATTTCAGAGGACTCATCTTTGCGTTGAAAATTTGACATACACCCTAATGGAACACTCACAATACCAAATGCCTTTTACTGTTCGTCATCCCAGTTTTGAATTACAAAACAAATCAGAGGCAGAGTAAGGGGCTGGAAATCCAAACAGCTGTCCTGCTGACACCAAGCTCCTGTCACTCTTACAGCTCTGGTCAGCCTGCGGRCCGGATCCCGCACTCCGCGGTGTTTCTCCGGCCTTTGTTCCGTTTCCCCGCAGCGGCTCCGCCCCGCTCCCTCAGCCCCGGGCGGCGGCAGGCGCTTCCCGCGCTGCTGCGGCGCCCCCTGGCGGCCCGAGCGCTGCGGCGGGGGCTCCCCGCGGGGACAGCGACAAAGGACTGTCCTGATCAACACAGCCCGCGAGAGACACAGCCCAGTGCACCCACAGCGATAACCGAACACTAACTGCCATTTTCGCATCTGCATTCGTGCKTAGCTTTTCACTTACAAGTGATCTGGAGTATTTATCAAATGCACATACTCTTGTAAACGCTAACATGATTCAAACAGGATCTCATAAGGGCTGATATCTGCACTAAAAATACCCTGCTAGAATATCTCAGTCAAAACCTGTGTTTTACTAGATTGCTCATATAAGCAATATGGTGACAGTTAAGAGCCTGGAAATTACCTTGCTTCTTATGCTGAATCTGAAAAAAGTCAGTTCCTTCAAAATTGAAACTTTATCATCTTTCTGCTGTGCAACAAGCTTATGCTGCCCTCTGTACTGTACCGGTTCCATCACTTGCTGGAAACATCAGCATTGCTATTAAGCTAGGGAGAAGACAAAACATAAAATACCTTTGACGCAGGAGCTRTGTGCTGCACTATGAATGTAACAGCAGGCCACTGCTGTTTGAATCTTACCCTCCAAGAAGGCAGAGGGGAAAAAAAGAAAGTTGAAAGAAAATGCCTAGCAGGAAACAGAGACGATAAGCAATGAAGGAAAATGGCACAACATGGAAAAAGCATAAAAAGCCTCTCAAAAACAGTTTTCACTGGGRTTTACTCCCCTGTGAATATATGTGGAATTTGTTTCTGGATATAATGCACAAGCCACTATTTTCATGCAAAGTCTATAAAAGCATCCAGAAAATATTCAACTGGTTCCCCATCCTGCTCTTATAATCAAGCTTTTTCTGTCACATGAGCTAAAGTATTTCTACTCTACTAATGCCWGCTGCCTTTCCTAAAGCTTTTGAATACAACAGACTCAGCTGGCATTTTCTAAACTTAGATATRACAAGGGCAAGTATTACATCCTTGYGTGTGCAAATTAAGATTATCAGTTTGATTTAACATAAAGGATGCAATATTTCCTCTAACAGTTCTTGCTAATTATATTTTTAGAAAATCTGTATRTTGCAATTAATTTTATTGTCCTGTTATTAAATTTACTACAGTTAATGTTTATCTTAAATTGCACCTGATCCAAGCAGGTGCATGAAAAGAACAGTTGGTAGATAGCTTTGGAGATGTTCCTTTCTATGAAGTCTGGTCTGAAGCAGTCATGAGGTATCTCACTAGGCCAGTTGCAAAATTACTGCTGTCTGTTTGATCTGTACATAAATCATATAAAGACTTTGCAGGAAAGCTAACAACAACACTGTTGTGTTTTGTGTCCAGCACACAATGCTGCTTCTGTATTGGGAAAACCTAACTCAAAGGAGTGTGGAGAAGGAATATCTGTGACATCTAAAGGAAAGTGCATCAGCTTGACCATTTAGTGAGGGGGAACAATTCACAGAAACTGCAGTTTGGACATTTGGCCATGCTAGGTCTGACCCATMTGCAGGAGAAGCAGGTTATCAGCTGCTTCAAACAGCCATTCCTAACAGGCACAATTTACTCAGGAAAAGGCAGCAGAAACAGAGACTTGCAAATCTGCACAACTCTCCAATGAAAGCTGGAGGGAAACTGATCCCAGTCTAGCCTAAGCAATGGGTGTGATTTGCAATGCCAGCATGGACACAGGCAGAATCTCATGTTAGAAGTGAATTGGGTCTCATAAAGAGCCCCAATCAACTGAGACAGAAGCASTTGTGATGGAAGAGTAGTGAGGTACCTGACTCCTGGAGGAAGGGAATGCAGCCAGCTTTGCTCAGTGGGCTCAGCTGTGGAAAGGCTGGAGGTTTCCCTTGCCTAGCAGGAATCTGTAAGGCTGTACTAAGTAGTTACTGCAGCCTCTGTCTCAGGGGGTGGTGGAAACACAAAGTAAAACAACAACACACAAGTATTTGTAAAGTTAGGTTTTCCACACAGGTATCACTGCCAAGTTTAAGAAAAGAGAAWATCATAAACAACAGTCTCTGTCCACCTCAATTCAACATCAGTTTCAACCCAAAGGATAACAACTGGCTCCTAAGAGTGGCCCTAGAAATTTAAAATTAAAATTACCTTCCCGAAATCATAATGATTTTCATGGACAGAGGCTGATGTCTACATGAGGAGTGATCCCCAGAGCTATGCAGGGTTTAGCTTCACTTCTTTGTATGATGTTCCACAGAAGGACAAAGAGTCTTTCACTTGAATGGAATGGTGCTGGGTCAAGGGACAGCATCCAAATTACCCTGGTTCAATCAGTGACAGATGTTACAGAGGTAAATCCCTCAGTAATACCATTTCCATACTAAAAATCTGTTCTGACACATCCTTCATTGTGCTTGATCTTTTCCGCAGAGCACCTCCTCTACAAACRCAAGAACCACTGGATTAATCCAAATACTGTTGCATTAGCCCAAATGATAGCAATTCTCACTGAACTCCTGCTCTGGAGCAACCTTCTGCCTCCAGGATAAGAACATGCTCATTTTGTAAAAATCGCACTATAAACTGTATCCTCCTTCCTGTTACTTTCTTCATTTAAGTACATCAAACATAATCTGTATCTACCACAATCTATTATCAAATAAATGAGAAAGAGCAACACTCAGATATGTCCATATATGGATGCAAAATGGCAATGTAGAAGACTCCAACAAATGTGAAATAAAAGGAACAAATAACTGAGTAACAGTGCTAGGCCACATTTTGTACACCAACACCAAGAGGCCCCACATTTAAGAAGAGAACTTAGGAAATAGATAGCGCTCAGTCAAGAACATGAAAAGCATTTACTTACCTGCAGTTCCTAAGCTAAGTAGTACAGCAACCCAAAATACCCAGAACACAATGAGAATCAGAAAGGTCCAGAATGGYTGGAACAGGAGGAAAGGAATTCTGCCAATGATTTTACCAACAATTCGAAAGAGCTGTACAGCGAACGGAAGCCTCTTTCTTAGTACAACTATGAGGGAAAGCAGAACAACCTGTAACAGGAAATAAAAAGACAAATTGTTGGGGGCTTTACCTCAAGAAAATTATCAGACTTGTCAAATATTGGATCAGAGAATACAGATTTCACAAAGACATGAGAGTAAAGCAATTTATACAATCTTAGTACACATTGCAAAATCCTCCTGAGACACAGTTTGTGTTCTCAAAGAGCCTGTGGATTAAAATCTGGTTTTCTGAAATAATTGGTGCTGGTTCTTTTTAAACAAAATAGGATTCATAAAACTTTAATTCATCTAATGGAAACAATCTGTTTTGCTTTACAGCAAAAAAAAAAAAAAATGTATATAATACATTGCTTTCACATACCCTGCATGTAATGAACTTTTAAACTTTCTATTCAGGTCAGCTTGCCACTGTTCAGTTTCACCAGTCCTTTCCTGCAGTCCACAACCAAACTAGTTTAAGAGCTATGTATGAATGGGAACAAAGCAGACACAAAATGAAAACTTCTTTGAATAAATTATTGTCTTCCCAAAGTAAAAAAATCAACCTGCCAATAAAAAAACCCTGAGTCTAAAACTCCATAATATCCCCAGTTCTTTGTATGTGAGGAACTATGAACAGCAGTTAAAAGGAAGGCTGGAATTTATAAAACAATAAACACAAACAGCGGCAATTGCTTCACCAGTCTTCTTGTCTGCTCTAGAAAGAAGCCACCAGCTCTGAAGAGAAGTGTAACCTGCAGCAATGGATGCTCCCACAGTTCTGCAAAGACCAGTGAGCTGCATTGGAACATGGATTCAAAGGAACATTTTCTTACCTCTTTGGTATCAGCAGACATAAAAAGGCCATAACTTATAGAGGACATTAAAAAAAAAAATCTGATCTGTGACACGTTATATTTGTCACTGTAAACTGTTAGACTGTTCATATCTGGCAAATTTCATATGGATCTTACTCATGTCTAAGAAAACTGGACAATCACATTGACAAATGTCTCATGAAATACAAATTAACTGTACCCTCAAATTGAGCAAGTGCTCCTTTAACATTGCAACATCAGAGTGAAAAAATCACTTAAGAAGTTGCAAGCCACACTCAGATTTTCTACTGTAAAACAAGGACAATGAGAGAAAAACAGAATTTAACCCATAACTTGAGGTCTAGGCACTGCTGCCTGTGTTGCATTGCCCCTTTCATTGTCCAAAAGAGCTGACACCCCTTCCTCCTACTGACAGAGTGGGATGAACCCATGATCTCATGTTCATACTCAGCCAGTGCCCCAGTGTTTATTCAACATGATTCTCCAGTGAGCTGATGCAGAACAAAATCAGGATGGAACACAGTTCTTGAWTTTTTACACCAACAACACTAACACTGTTTGTACACGTTTGAAGTGGGGCAGGGCTGACGAACAAATTTCCTATGAAGATAAAAAATTATTTTTCTAGTWTTAATGGGGGCACTGGAACTAGATTTTTAGGGATCTTTAAGGTCCCTTCCAACACAAACCATTGTATGATTTTATGATTATACTTAAATGCATGTAAGAAGATCCTGGAATTTATTTTCATTTTCCAATTTGACAGGAATTAGGAATTATTTTAACTGTTGCAGAACCACTGTAGTTCAAGTTTTCAAGTTACAGCCTCTGCCATTGCTTAGGACAAAATGCTACTTACGGTAACTATTGTTGAGAAGATGGCATATCCAAGCAGGAACTTTGCATTTTCCTTTTCTGTTTCCAGTTCAGTGCTAGGGTCATTCTTGTAGTCATAGTAGAGCCACCAGAGAACACCTGAGACAACTGAGCAGACAAGAGCAGCATGAGGATGGGCAGAGCACACTGCTGCTCACAAGGTGATGCCTGCCTGGCCTCCCTCCTCAGCCTCCTGCCCTCACCCTGAACCCACACTCGGCTTGAGAATTCTGTCACTTAGCAAAGTGAGGCACAGTAGCAGTGATCACAGAAAAAATTCACATAGTGGCCTGTCAGTCTGAGGTAAAACCACAGCAGACTACTTGGTTTTCTTGCAGTTATTCTAAGGCTCAGGCATGTAATTTCATTGTGGAGATACAGAGCTAACTTTCGTGGAATGGCAAGCTTTAGCCAGACACATTCCTATGGTTCTTCGTTTCTTAAGCAGGCAGTAAGAGTTCATAAAGCATTCTTTGAAACAGTAGCATTTTCATAACTGCATTCATCTGCCAAAAGAAATGTTGTTTCCAGGCATCTATAAAAACAATAAACATCACCATTATCCCAACACCCAGCAGCTGGAACAGCACAGCCAGACCTTGGCACCAGAAGGCAAGCAGGGCTCATGGAAATGACTATGGTATACTGAAGGTTGTTGAGGATGGCCCTGAGAAAAGAGGATAGCTGTTTGTCCAGCTGCTAATCCTTCAGTTCAGTCAAACAGTAAATATACTTACACAACAACCCGAATACAACCAGTGCAATCAGAGTATGGATGAGGAGGGGCTGAATGAATCTGAAGGCTAAAACCAGTCCCAAAGAGAAGGCTGAAAAATAAATGAAGTAAGTTTGAGCGTTACAACCCATTTAACTTAACCCCTTTTGATTTTAAATATAAATTTAAGGTTCTTGCAGAATTTGGGCTTTTATTTTTAAACAGTAGTCTCAAAAGCAATAACATTGAGTAAAGCTGGCAAGCTTTTTAWCATTTAAAACACTCAGTTACCTGTAACTTAAATAATAAGGAACTTACAGCTGTCATATTTCACCATGGGAATTACTAACTTTCAAATAAAATTTTCTATAAGATTTAAGTTCCAGTGCTCATGCTGATGTCATTTTTTACATCCACAATTTCTTACAGTCCTTGAAAAGAGGTGTATAACCATGTCATGGAACACAATCTGATAATTCATAGAGCTGCATTTCATCAGTCTATTATACACCTTCTGTTAAAACCCAATCACTCTTCCTTTAAAAACAGCTCAGTCCAGAAAATATGAAAAAAAACCCCACTTTTGAATTAAACATATGGACTTAAAAGAAATATTTGAAACCCACCTTTTAATTGAATATCATTATTCACTTTTTACTTATAGCCTTACCTAATGCAAGGACACTCAGTCCTATCACAGTATCTCTTCCTGCCAATATTCCACTGAGAATTCGATGAAAAACATCCATTTCATTAACCATACTTATTAGGACAGATGCATATTTGGAATAGCATTCAGGATGTTGTGGAACACATCGATTAAATAATGGAAAGGATTTACTGAAAGGTTAAAAACAAAAATGGCAAAAAATATTAATTACAGGACAAACAGTTTAAAATCCACAAATTATAAACTGCCACTCTTCACAGAGTGTACTCTCATAAAGGGAGAATGCAGGTATCATCTGCAAAATAAGCGCCTAATAGTGTCGTGCCTGTAACACTACACCAGAACATTCAAGATCAGCCTTAGGAAAAAAAGTAACAACTATATAATTAACTAATACCACTATCAGCCCATAGCTCCTATTCCCATTCTAGTGAAGCAGGTGTCTGGCTTCACCTGCTTTGTTCCATGTTTATGTAAAAACTAAGTTCATGTTAATACAGCTGCAACCTATGTCGTTGTAGATAATTCTAGATCAGAAACACTTCACATTGTTTTTATGATATTTAAACATTCTAAAAGCCACACCAAAMCAATGTTTGCAAGGTACAATTAATGGCATTAAACATTTATACAAAATTATTTGGCATTCCCAGCCAAGCTTCCTGCCCACATTTATAGTCCCACTTTGGCAGGGCTGCACTACGACAGTCAAAGGCATATTCTTACCTAAAAAGGAGAGGTTTTGTCATCAACAATTAAAAACTTCTCTAACTAGCTTTACTTCTACTATGAAATATTACTGTGCAAGATGAGTAACTTYGCTGAGTTCCTTGACAAGCAGAGAAAAGCCTAGAAAATTGAAGAAATAAGTGAAACATGCYATATTTTTACATGCTCTCCTTTGATCCATTGAAGGTAATGTTTTTATGTCTCCTGCTTTCTACCRTTCACTTTGTTCTTCCATTTTCTCCTGTTCAGAGCAGATGACTTAGTTCTGCAAACACAGAGATTCCACTTCTTTGCTGTGTTTTCATTCCACAGTGGAACTTAAAATCATGGGTTTAAGAATTTTRACTCACAAATGCCAGATTACAGTAACAAGACAGTAACATCCGCAGGTCTATGCTTCAAGCCAGCTGGCTATAAAATTATTCCAATGGAAATTTCTGGGCTCAGGGTAAGCACAAAGATCACATCTTTGGCATTGAGGAAGAGAGCAAAAATCTGTGCAGGAGGTGAGTTTTTCCTCATATGGAGCGCTTTTCTCCTAATTTGGAGAGGGAAAAGTCTCTTAAGGATAGAGGAACGGAGGGAATGCAGTCCTTGTTTATTCTGTGGAACAGGACACTGGCATGTTCACAGGCATATAAAAGAACTCGTAAGGATACACTGGCAAAAATAAATAAACAAAGCAAAACCATCCTGACGGTGAAGCGTCAAGCCAAATACAAAGTGTGAGTGAGGAAGTAGCAATCCGTAAGAAACTGTTTAGATTCAAGGATGTTGTAAAGTACCCAGTAATTCTTACCTTGGTGGAACTGGCAGTGTGGGACACAGCTGAGCTGCCCTTGGATTTTGTGTGTAACTGGAGACATTCAGGTTGTAAACACAAAGAAAAGAGCCTAGAAAAGGAAAAGAAAGGGGAAAAAAGTAACTTAAAATCAGTAAAAATTTGAGAGAAAAATACATTAACAACTAAGTTTTATTTACACTTCTGTTTTGATCTCTTAGCAGGTCATAATCATCCCTGATACTCCTGTGGGAATGTAAATAATAAATTAGGTAGCTGTGTAAATCTAAAGCAACCTCTGCAGAATACATATTCAGAAACTGAACTTGTGCTGGAATCTAGCTGAAATATTACCAGGTACTCTACWGATAATACTCTGTTCCATTACACAGTGCTTCCGGGAAAGAAAGGCTGGGTACAGCCAAGTCATTCAAAATGCAAGACTTCTCTCTGTCTTGACRTAAAAACATGCCAGCAGTTTTAGCTGGAATTTGATGCAATTACATTTTGTTAGACTGAAAATACCTATATAATGTCACGTGTTTGCAGCTTTTTATATGTACCAAATGATGTCAGACTACCCCAAATTTAAATTTAAAAAAAAAATATTGTCAATTTAAATCCCTTCCAAACAAAACAGCAAAACAAAAAAAGAATGGAATACTGACGTCCAGTAAAAATAGCCACTAATACTCATATGGTCTGAAGTTTATWAATATCCCATGAAATAAGGCTTAGGATACAGATAATTTTGTTTATGTGTTGGACATGAATAAACCGGAGCTACCTCTTTTGCACAACAGCTATTTCTGACAGAATTTTCATCTTGAATACCAGAATCAAATGAAATTTCTAGGTGTGTCCTGTTTTTGGCTGGGAAGTGAGTGGCTGTATGCTACTTAGTTGCCAGCTGGGGCTAAACTACAACAAAATGGAATAGCAAACATTGGGATCTGATATCTAGAGGGATAAAACCACTTGTGTCACCCTGGAATCATAGTTTAAATTTAAAGGAACCAATTGGCCAAGCTTCTCGAATAGCATATGGGCTTTGGTCAGCTACTGGCACCCCCACCCTTCACTAGCTCATTCTCAGCAATCAGTTTTCTGCTGCATAATCTCGGCACATTGCAGGAATTAATCAACAATTTTCTAAGTTGCATAAGAGAGCTGTAATATTTTTAGAAACAATGGCTTTGAAATAAAACAGAAACAAGACATTTTATTTTCTGTTGCCATGACCTCTTCAGGAAATTAATGGCAAGATATGACTCCCGAGTGTAAGAAACATAAGAATAACAAAGTGAAAGCTGCTCAACTTTTCTACAGATACACTAAGATATTCATATTCCCCGTGGCACACCATTATTCCTTGCAAAACTCTGGAGATCTTCCAAAGAGTTGAGTTGCTCTTGTGGACAACTTGACACACACAAGGAAACTGAACTGATTTTCAGGCTTTGTATTTCCAGGCTGCATGAATTCAGAAAGAACACGTACCTAGAAAGGAAAAAAATAGCCTCTTAAAAAAAATAAACCAACAAAAAAAAACTTTCTTAGGTTTTTATAGGTTTAAACTCCAAACCTTCTTTCCATCTGAAGTGCAACAAAGCAAATGAAACTTTTCCCAAAGGAGTCAGTGTCATGACTGAGAGCTTCAACATGCAACTTCCTTAAGTAAAAAGATTTGCCATATAGAATGACTGCCTGTTTGGCTGAAGTCCCRTTTAACATACTCTTTAAGAAGAAGGTTTCATAAAGCATAACAATGTAGCACATTTTCAAATTCYATCTTCACTTTTTAATTTCACTCACTCTTTTGCACCAATCCCACCTTTTTTGCATTTCGATACAACAATGTATACAGAGATGTGCAACTAGAAGATGTGTATTTTACTAAGTTCTCAAACATTTGATTTATTTAGACATTATCTGATGTACTTACTTTTTATTAGTCATGTCCAATCCAGAAAGGTTTGCCCCTTCTACAGGAGTGTTCTTCCGACCACATATGTTCCCAAAGCTGTCATATCCAAGCACAAGTCTTTCTGCAGCACCAGCCACCACAGCATAGCCACCTATAAACATCTGTTAAAATATTTTTTTTAATCTGAAAGCATGCTAAGATAGCTTTTCCTTTCCCATTCAATCAATACTCCTTTTAAGTATTTTTGTCTCGTGGATGCAAACAGCTAAATCTAAAATTCACCCCTCTGCACAAGGCCAGAGCAAGTTTAGCTCTTTTGCTTCCTTAGAGCTTTCCTTCTTCTATTGTTGAAAGTATATAAATTAAGCAGAACAACACATGAGAAGAAAGACTGAGGTCCTAATAAGAGGAAAACATAAGGTGCTAAACACCGGCCCTAGAGAAATTCATGTGTATAACCAGGCAAGATCACTCAAATGGTGARTTTTCCTGTGCTCTCTGCCTCTTATTTTACAGGGTGGCTTTCAAGACACAYTTGGGCAATATATCTGCTGCCATAATGAGTCCTTGAAGCTGCTAGTGAATTGAATCAGAGGTATTTTTAAACACAACGTATAATTAATATTTTAAACACAACCGTATAATACAGGTTACCTGAAATTTCAGGAAGAGGAACTCTAACACACAGGAAAAACCTGGAGAGAGCCACACCACACATTAAGGTGACACTGTCCTGACCTTTTAGTCGTTCTGCTGTCAGAACAAAGTCCSAGTAGATCATCTCCCAGTAAACCCCAGGGGCATCTAAGTACCTCTGCTGGCCAAGTAGCAATTCTTAGTCAAAACAAATCACCTTGTTTAGGAATGCAGCTTAAACCCTCCAGAACCCCAYGAGGGTCAAAACAATCATTGGAAAGAACCTTTGCAAGTGCCAAGAAGCAGCAATTCCTCTGTGAAACTGATGAAGTCCTGAGCACAGCTTTACCCAAAGGTTTATTAACAGCACTGCAGCTACTGAAGAACTCAGTGATCCAATCTTCTCCTCTGTCCCACGGGGTGCAAGGCACATTTCACACACACCACGGACAATCACTAATCTCTGTGGCTATGGGCCAACTGCTGGGAGCAGCCAGACTTCTCAGTCCCACATTAACCACTACTACTTTTAATGGATGTGATTGCTCATATCAGAKCCAGCACAACTCTAACTTAGTTTCYAACCTAACATTTAGAGCCTTTATTTGTTTTTATGCTTTTAATACTTGTAATTAAAGATTGGATCTGGGCAAAAACTGAGTCTCACACACAAACATGTGCTTCTTTAGTCCTTAGGGCAGTCTCATTTTTGCTTATAATAGACTCTTATTTTGCATTCTTAAATAGTTCTGTATTTTTTAAAAATGATGATTGCATGTTAATGCTGTCTCACTATGGACRTCTTTGTAGAGACTCCACAATTCAAACCAACATACTACTTTGTGGATGTGATTTGTTACAATAACAAAGTATTTCCAGATCCAGTTTGTTTATATAGCAAGTATTTGTTAATAATTAAAATGTTCTCAGAGGGAAAACAAGGAATGAGCTGGCACGGTAACTCAACTGAAACAGGCTTTCAGAAAAATTCTGGGATCCTTCTAAAGATAAGCGTTACAGGTCCACTGTGTTGGTGATTTTTTTCAGTTTTTTAAAGTGCAGAATGCTGGATGCCAGCCATAAATATTGTTAGGTAACAGAATAATAGCTGCAGGGATGTACGTGGCCATGATACCCATTTCCACAGAGCTATTAATGTGGTTTCAATTTGTTCACTATGTGAACAAATTGGTGTCATAACATTTTCTTACATAATTAAAAAATGAGATCAAACACAGGAAAACAAATGCATGTGTGCAATAAGCTACTTCACAGAAACTGAGCGACAAAAACAGTGAGTGAAACCAAACAAAAATCCTAAATCCTTACAATTGACAGGGTTCATCTGTGGCATTCACTTCACTGATCAAAGCACTAAGCATTAAAAACAGCAGCTAAAAACMCTACCTGCTCACTAAGTTCACTGTCCATTTATGCAGCATTCAAAACATGCAAGCAATATTCTGCATTAGCTTCCATTAAAAAAGTTACTATGAACAGAATTTAAAAGTATATTTATGAGAATCCTGACCAGACTCAGCAATAGCATAAAAAGCCCCACTCACACTCGAGAAAGACAAAGCCTGTTCCCAAAAGCTTGTGCACTGTTTTAAGCACTAGGCAGATTGTGACTTAATGCAGCATCAGATGGACACGTTGCAAGATATCAAGGCTACAATGAATAAGTAGAATAAAGAGTCCAGACAGAGCCTAATTTACAAAAAAAAGCCAATTCTAAATAACCCAGCCCTGTGTTTACATGGTATCTAAAACACATGGGCAGAGCTTAGAAGTGTGACAGACTGCACCGCCATAAAACTGAGATCTGTCCCTGGGCAATCCTGGCACCTGTGCCCGTGACAACTGCAGTTTAGATTAAGTGTAACACTATGCAGAACYCCATTAAGCTTGGGTCTGATTTTTTCTTTCAGGAAAACAAACAAACAGACAAGCATGCTTACCAAGCCAGCCCAGAAAAGACAGAAGAGGAGCAGCCACAAAGTGTCTGTGCACTTTCTGTGAATGACTGGTCTCCATTCTCGCAGTTCAGAAACACTATCTCCAGAGTCCTAAAATGAAAAAAAAAGTTCAAGAAGAGAAGAAACCAAACTTCCTGTGAAATTACATCAAGTTCCAAGCAGTGGCGRTTTCAGCAAGCGCGTAACTTGGCGCTGTCGTTGCCGAACAGCCGCGGCTCTGTGCCTGCCACTCTGTGCACAGCGAGGTGCGCTGCCCCCCGCWCGCCCCGCAGTCTCCCCGCCCCGCCGCTGTCCCGGGCACTGTCCGGCCCKGCGCTCACCCGCCGCCGGCCCCCGCACCGCTCCATGGCCGCGCTCGCCGGGCCGTGCCGTTCTCCGCGGGGCGGGCGGGCCCGGGGCGCAGCCGGCTCGGCGGGGCTACACTGCCCTGGGCTCGGCTCCAGCGCCGCGGGGCCGGGCCGGGCCGGGCGGGGGCACCTCTGGCAGCTCCGCCCGCCGCTGTGCCGGGCACTGCCGGGCCCGTCCCGGCCGCTCCGCTCGGAGCCGCTCCGCCCGGAGCCGCTGGCGGGAGGAGGCGGCATTGCTGCCCGGAGCGCTCCGCTCCCGCAGCCCGGCTCCCGGCACAGAGCTCGGGGGTCCCGGCGGGGCCGGCAGCTCCTCCACAGCCGCAGGTTTGCACAGGGACCCCGGCCGGGGGGGAGCTTTGTATTTCACTCTTCATTAGTTTATTTCTGGGAATACCTGAGGATTTGTTACTGCCGGCACAAAATKGGGGCTTTGCATCCTGTGAAGCCCACTGGCTGCATTATCAATACACAGTCAGTCATAGACCCTTTTCAACTTGTTTGGTTACATCAAGCTGACGCGTTATGTTAGGCTATACACACCTYTCATCGATGTCCATATGAATTTTGCATGTACAGGAAAAAAACCTGCAATTACTGGAATAACATAGAATTAGGTCAATTCTCATCACTCAGATGACCAAGGAATGTGAGAATTTTAAGATACTTTTAATACCATGTTTTCTCTTGCGGTCCGTATTGCCTTTTTATTTTTGTGTTCACTAAATTCAGCTTAATAATCAACAGAAAATTACAAATTGAAAGGATATTGGAAGTATGGTTTTGTCCTCTTCCTGACGGTCAATGGAACAAATAAATGTCCTCTTTAAGAAGTAAGATAACATCTGCAATTGAAATAAAATTGAATTAAATGGAAGCTGTTTTGCAAAACTGTTTAATAATTGGTCCATCTTGCGTAGGAGACAGAGCACTAGGCTGGTCTTGTCTAGGGAAAAAAGCAAAACAAACCCAGCATGTTCCAGTTCTCCAGAGAAAATGCAATATAAAACCTTGGTGACAAGCTATCSTAAATGGAAGTAAATAGGTAATACCAGAAATTGGGATTTAAAATAAAAAGGAATGAATCTCTGCCCCAGAGCACTTCAGAGTCCTTCCAGGCTGACTGGAAGCAACGGCATTTTTCCAAGAGTTAAGTCATAAATTGTTTCTGAAATTGACATTTTTACCCATTTAGCAGAACTTAGTACAATTCTGATTTAAGTTTACACACGCACACACTCCCAAGAAGTGGTTCTGAGAAAACATAGCAGGGAAGATTTCTAAAAAATTCTGCGCCTTTCAAAGGATTTATTAAACCATTTTGTTTCCAGCTAGYTCATACTTTGTGTCTATCAGCATTCTGTCTTTTAATGCTCATTATCCATCAATTTGTTGGAAGATTTCATAATTTGGATGAAAAATAGAAGAAAAATCTAAAATGGAAAGGGTAGTTATGTGCTTGTAAAGCCTAAAGAGAGAAAATAGCTTTTCCTTCACTTTGTGCTGTTGCACTTTAAAAATATGTGGGAAAAGCCATTTTAAATTGAAATACAGATGTGAAATTTCATATTAAATGTAACCTTTTTTAATAAGAGAAGTTAGGGTGGTTTTTTTTATCAAGAAAAACCCCAAATTAATAACCTTTAACCTAGATTCAAAGASTATTCTGAGACAGAATTATTATCTGATTAAGAAAAATCATCTTGAAGAACAATGCCAGTGATGAAGGCSTATATTAGAATCTGATGACTTGCTGTCATCACGTGCTAATATTTTGCTGTTGATCTGGCATTTTCTGAATGATCCTCCTTAAGTTTTGTGTTACATCSTTATTGAAGTAAAGGATAAGAGCAAGCAGAATAAATACTTTTTTATTTAACTCCAGAATCCAAGCAACTCAAGTTCATGTACAAACATTGGAATCAGCAGTAGAGACCTACTTCTACTGAGGATTATCAATCATAATTCTTGTATTTCTTCAGCTAGCCGAGGAAAAGTTATCTTAGAAATGCTAGAATATAACTCACAATTAGAACAGGATTAAAAAAAAAAAAAGGAAATAAAATATTTTAATGATAGTAAGTTTCTTTTCCTGAATTTCAAACATGACCAAATGAAACATTTATTCTTAGTAGCAGCTGAGAACTTTTACATGTGTCACTAGGTGGGGCTCGGCTTCCAGTTTCGAGCTCCCGCTCAGCATTTGGGCTGGGAGTGCAAAGCCTCAYATCATGGGGAGCCAGAATTCACAAATGAGAGTCCTCATGTTACAGCTGAAAAAAATGTCAGGAATCAAGACTCAGATCAGATAAGAGATTTAAACATCCATATCCAAAATGTAATACCAAAACCTCTTGCTTGCTATTTGTCCAGTCCTATCCAAAATTGTCCAGAATATCTATTTTGAATTTTCTGTCTTACTACTTTCAYAGGATAGAGCCTGGTTCTGCAGCTGAGTCATTCAAGCACTCAGTGAGAAGCAGGGAGTTTTAGAAGTGATATTTTGTAGTTTTGAAATAGCAATGAGATGAAACTCAGTTCTGGAAAAAGAATATTGGATTACAGAACTGATCCTTTTATGTGGGCACTAAAGACTTGGCCAGAGAGGTGTCCACTGGCTTTCTCTCTCTCTGGTGAGAAGCCCGTGGTGGAGCCTTTGGTCTCAGTTCCCCTGTCTACATGCACGAGATGACGACTTTAGAATATGCTTCATTTCAATCTTGTATCCAACTACAGCCGCTTCAAGGGAGATTAATATGATGAGAATCCATGTTCACTCATGAATCCTCACTGAGCTCTCAAGTATGTAATGTTTTTTGTAAAGGAAGAGAAAATATTTACAGTCTTGGAGTACCCAGGAATTAACMGGGATTTATTTGTGTGTTAAGACATCAACCATTCAACCTGTTTGTTGTGTTRCAGTGGGGAAACCATAAGAAGGGAGATTAACATTTGCACTTTCAACACAACACTACTTGTAGTTTTAAAGGATATTTTACATATTAAGGATCTTCAGGCATGTTTGTCGTCATTAACAGTAGAAATGAGTGGCAACTAAACCTCATGGACATTTTTTTACTCTGTTTTTCATGAGGTCACAAAGAATATACAGAAGATAGACATGAAATCAAGCTTCTGCAAGACTTTGTGCTTCAATCACAAAGTTCTTATTATTTCTTATGAGTGTAGTGTTTATTCMCTGAGAATGAATCCTGGTGCTGCCCATACTTAGGGCTCAACTTTCCTACCAAGAAAGTTGGCTGGTTAAAACTGGAGCAGGAATGTGGATTGGGAGAGGAAGGTACTAAATGAAAACATGACAGTTCCTTGCTAGACTGGTTAAGTGAGATGACTATCCCTATCTGTATCCCCTTCTGGGTCAGACAAGGAACAGAGAGCAATTACTTTAATAACAGGATGCAGCAAATGAGAAACTCAAAAGCAAACATTTTCTGCCTAATTAGAGAAGGTGCAGCTGAACATAATTTCCATCAGTCTCAAAGGATTCTGCTTATGTACCATAGCTCATCAGGCAGGYACTGTTCTCTGTATGTAGCTATGCTTCTTGGAATATCCTGAACTGCAACACCCAGAAACTGAACATAATGCCACCTATTATATTCAAGCTGCTAGTCAGGTTCACATTCTAAGACCTGGTGTTAATGAGCTCATCTCACTTGAACCATTCAGTCTGAAATTTCTTATGGTAGGTGCTGAAGATTTTTCGGAAATATTAGCCCAAATTATTCAGTCATTTTTAAGAACAAAATTAAAGAAGYAGACAATATGGTATTTCTTCTTGGAAAGTAGCAAAGAAATTCTTACACRTTATTTGGATTAGAGATTTTCAATTGAAAAGGAAAAAGACATGCTTGCTGCTTTTTCTCATATCTGAGAAACTTCACCCATATTTACCCAAAGAACTTTGATAAATCACAGGGTATGCTCAGCCAACTTGCTAGGCTTCATAGTAAAGAATCTGTTGACTGTGCCAGCATGGTGTACCTTGGGCCTGACTGAGACAGTTTGGACAACCCTGAAATGTGCTTCTGACCTGCTTTGTCTTCACATTACTGATTGTCCTGTGAGTGACCAGGCACAATGGACAAAGMTGGTCCTGAGATGAATGCAAAGAAAAAGTAGAAAYGGCTATTGCTGTTAAACAGATTCCTGGAGTTGATAAAGAATACCTKATTTGATAAGGAAAGCAGGACCTAGCTGCTCCCTGAGAAGGATTAAGGATTCATGAAAGTCAGCATCGTGAAAGCATTTAACCTAATGCTGTAGACAGTGGGCCTTTATGCTTCTGTTGAGCCACAGTAACAGGCTGAAAGCCGAGACTGACTCAGCAAAGACACTAGAAACAGGAGCCTTGAMGTAAAATGGAAGTCTAGAATAGTAGGGAAATGGCAGCCAGAGAGAGGAGGTGGAGGTAGGACTGGCGTGCAAGGGACAGCATAGACGATTCGAGGGAAGGGAGGGGCTGGATGTGAATGAGACTGAGAGCCAGGAGGAAATGGCTTAAAAAGGGACGTGAAGATTGAACGAAATAGGAACCTGAGAGCTAAGGAAGGTTAGAATTGGTATAGGGAAGCATAAAACTGGCCAGGGAAGAAGAGGATACATCAGAGAAGCATGAAATCTGTTGTGGGGAATTAACAAGCTATAGCACAAGTCCTGCAGATACATAAAAGATTAAGATGGAGTGGGGGGAGTGATCAAAAGATTCTGGGTCACCTTTTCTCTGCTATCAGCAAATATTCTCAGTGTTGACCTGAAACTGCCTGACAGACTCAGGCCTGGCTCACAACCAAAGCATCCTGCCAGGTTTCTGATCAGCCTGCTAGTGCTGTCTCTGCTCCACTGGATCCACTGGCAGACATCTGTCCTACGTATCTAAAGAATCCAATCCTTCCGAGGACTTGATTTAATTTCTCTATGATGCTCCATGCTAGCTTTTCTGGAAAGGAAACCCCACCTGTATATTTACAGCCTGACTGTTTAAATTCTCACTTATACATAGAATGGTGAAAATGCACAAAAGATAAAATAAGCAATATTTTTTCCCAGTAATTTGATTGTTTTAAAGA